TAAGGATGTGATGCATCCCAAAACAAAATTTCTTTACCTGTAAAATAACCCAAACAACTAGGGTGAGTAATCAAGTTACTCGTAGGATGTGGTGCATGCGCATACCCTATAGTTTCAAGTATAATGTGAACCAAACATAGACCATCATAAGGGTGCATTCCACCTAACGTCTATGTTTCCATGGTACTCTAAGGGATCATTTCAAGTTATACCAATATTTGAAACGATAAACACGTAGCATCCAAGTATACAAGACAAGTACACTAACCACATTAAAACTAAGATTTACCAAATCACAAACTACAAGAAATCTATGATTTACAACTTGGAAAGTAATACAAAATCAAATAATGGAAAGACTAGGATATATGGCCATGAGACCATACAAGTTCTTTTGGGTAATTACGACCCACAAGGTACTACCTAGTGCGCACTATGAATTAGGAGAATTCCTATCCTCCGTACTAGAGCCAAACCCTATTCATCAACATCTCATATCCTTACAAGTTTCCAAAAATCAACAAGTTCATGACATTTATGCAATCTCAATACATGAAACTACCTACCAAGCACAAGTAGGGCAAAACTACACAAACCATGCACTAAGGTTACATGTCTAAAATGGCAAGCAAATGTTACTACACATTATGCCATATTAATTTAATATTAATGCAGGCCACAATTACTAATCATGAAACATAATAATCTACCTACAAGTAATTACAAGTGCTATTTACAAGATTTTCATACTAAACTCTCAATGAAATCTCCATTTACTTAACAACATAAGTACAATTTCAAGATATTCATAATAAACCCTAAATGAAATCACAAGTATTAGGCAAATCATTAAACAATAACCTACCTATACAATTTAATAGTCATATACATGCTTTAATCCACAAATCCTAAGTCAAGCATATAAAATCTCTATTTATATGCAAATACAAGAATTTAAAAAGGCATGTAATCAATATATATCAAGCTCCAATATATATAAAACCCAAAGAGGATAAACATACAACCACCCCTACCTCACAAGAAGATTGTTCCTCTTGAATCCAAGGGAAGCAAAGGAATTTCAAGTTTTCCTTTTAGGTTTATGAAGAGGAAGATGAGGCAAGGCTTTTGTATTCCAAGCTTAATGGTCTAAGGTGAGTGGAAGGGTATCAAAAATGAAGTCAAAGTTCTAAGTCAAGCTTTGCGCCAATGGTGGCTAAGTTAGGGTTCTTGAGAGGAAAGAGATGAAAATGAGACAAAGGTGTAAACCCTAAGCTAAATGGTGGGATTCTCCACTCACTATGTGCTCTTGCACTACTTCTCACACACACACAATTGCAAGACCAATTGTGAAGCCTACACTTGTCACCATCCTATGTAAACTTCCAAAATTAAATATCAAACCTACACTTGTCAACTATCCATGCCAACAAGTGCTCCTATCCTAGGCCAACAAATGGGTGAATCTCCACCCTCCATGTGTCATCAAACAAGGCTTCCAAATGGTTTCACCACAAAACCAACAAGTGGCACCTTAGGAATGTGACACTTGTCACATTTTTCAGAAATTGCAAAAAGGTCCTTTTTGAAAATATCTTCCAAATTAAATTACAAAATAGTCCCTAAGACGAAAAATAATTACTTTATTTAATTACACAAAACCCCTCGAGTTTAGAGTAATTACCAAAAGTTTTACATTCAAGCCCTTTACAAGAAAAGTAACCATTTAACATGCTTTTCTACAAAAGTGAAAATGTAGATATCATGGAATTTAAATATCATGGATGTATGCAAAGCCGGAATTAAATCTGAGCACAAAAAGTGAGGTTATGAAAGGAAAAATGAAAAACGACTAAAGGACGAAATAGGGAAAAGATAAAAAAAGAAATTCACCGAAAAAAAAAAAGAAGGGAAATGACCGGGTCATTACACTGCACCAGGTGATGAGATGCTTGATGGAAACAAGGTGATTGATATTCATGGGGACCAAGTCGCGGCCAAGGAATGCTACTCTGTAACTTTGAAAGCTGCCGGAAAGGGAAAAGCTCCCATCCTTTCTGCTAGCCCAAGATAGCAATTACATAAGCCACCACCCACAGAGAATGGGGAGGTGGAACCTTCAGTTCTGATCGAAGAACCTCTCGTTGATGTGCAGATCGATTATGAGAAGCCAGATAGAACCACAACAGTCAGAACCGGACTTGCAGAAGGGGATAAACGGCAGTTGATTAATTTCCTGATTTAGAACGCAGATGTGTTCACTTGGAGTCATGCGGACATGCCGAGGATCGATCCTTCTATTTCTTGTCATTCCCTCAATGTAGACCCGACGTCAAGCCTGTAAGACAGAAGCAGAGGAGATTCGCCCTGAGCGCAACCAGAGCATAGCTGATGAAGTTAACAGATTGTTGGAGGTAGGGTTTGTTAGAGAGGTTTAATACCTGTCCTGGCTCTCGAACATGGTTGTAGTGTAGAAGAAGAATGGGAAATGGAGAGTTTGCATTGACTTTACCAACCTAAATAAAGCTTACCCAAAGAATAGTTTTCCATTGCCAAAGATTGATCAAATGGTGGATGCAACTATTGGGTATGAACGGCTAACTTTTCTAGATGCTTACTCAAGATATAATTAAATCCCAATGGATCCGAACGATGAGGACAAGACTTCTTTTGTAATTGAACGAGGAACCTATTGTTACAAGGTTATACCGTTCGGATTGAAAAATGCTGGGGCCACTTACCAAAGGTTGGTCAGCAAGATTTTCAAAAATCAGATGGGAAAGACCGTGGAAGCTTATATTGATGACATAGTGGTCAAGAGCAAGAAGAAGGACGATCACTTGGGGCATCTGCACGATGTGTTCAATGTATTGAGGAGGTATGGAATGAAGCTAAATCCAACCAAATGTTCGTTCGGCGTGGGCTTAGGGCAATTCCTGGGGCACGTGGTTAATAACGGAGGAATTGAGATTAACCCAGCCCAGGCGGAAGCTTTGATAAAAAATGCAGAACCGAAAACGGTCAAAAAAGTGCAAGCACTCACAGGACGGGTAGCCGCATTAAGCCGATTTATTTCTAAACTGTTAGACCGTTGCAAACCATTCTTTGATACAATAAGAGGCCATGGAAGGATGGTCTGGGGGGATGAGCTGCGGCACGCGCTAACCAGTTTGAAAGAGTATATGTGAAACCCTTCAGTATTGACTGCTCTCGAACCAGGTAAAAAGCTCTTTTTGTACCTCGGTGTGTCCAGCATAGCAACAAGTGTTGTTCTGGTGCACTATGTAGAAGGAAAACAGTTCCTAGTGTTTTATGTTAACAAAATAATGGCTGAGCCAAAAAAAAGGTATTCAAAGGCCAAACAAGTAATCTTATCATTGGTGAATGCAAAAAGAAAACTCAGGCATTATTTTGAATCCTATCCAATCGTCGCTTTGACTACTTTTCTTATAATGGTGATCTTGCATAAGCCAGATCTTTCAGGAAGAATGACTAAATGGGCCATAAAGTTGAGCTCATTTGATATAACGTATGAACCCATAATGACCATCAAAGGGCAAGCAGTGGCTGATTTCCTGTCAAAATGTGATACAGAAGACATAGAAGAAGATCTTAGAGATTCTTCATGGAAGCTCTTTGTGGATGGCTCTTCTAATCAAATTGGGCCAGGAATTGGGACCAAACTGCAAACGTCGGGGGGAACCACGTTGAGTCAAGCGGTCAGACTTGAATTCAGTGTAACCAATAATGAAGTAGAGTACGAAACATTACTGACTGGACTCAAGCTGGCAAAAGAATTGAAGATCAAAAGTCTGGTTGCTTTTAATGATTCACAGTTGATCATTCGGCAGGTGAATGGAGAATATGGAGCCAAAGATGAGACAATGGAGGCATACCGATCTGTCGTTCTGCGCGAGGCAAAAGATTTCGATCAGATTAAGTTTATCCAACTACCGAGGGAATATAATGGGGATACCGATCGATCAGCTTGTAGTGCACCAAGTTCTGGAGAAACATTAGCTCGGGTTATTACAACAAAATGGACTTTTAACAACACATTTTCTTCCAGGGGTATGCATAACCCTTTTAGAAAGTACTTTCTACAAGAAGTCCGTGTAAGCCCTTCTAGAAGAGTAGTTTTCCACAATAGGCCCGGCTAGCCCATTGTAGAAAGGGCTTTCTACAACAAGCCGCATGGCCTCTTGTAGATTAGGGTTTCTATTTCTGAAAAGTAAATTTTGGCGGATTGATGAAAAAATAGCGGCTTTTTTTTTCATCAGTCTCTAGCAGCGCGCCAAAAAGCTTAAGGTACCATTTATTCCTCCTAAATTCCCACACATAGGGATGGCAACGGGGCGGGTTTGGAGCGGGTTTCCCTAAATCCCGCCCCGCCCCTTTTAATTTTTGTCAAGTCCATGCCCGCCCCGAGACCCACGACGGGTTGGATTTTCATATCCAACCCCGCCCCGTTAGGAAATACTGTGCCCCCGTGCCCGCCCCACTAACAAATTTTTTTCTCCCACTTTTTGGAACTTAAACTCCTGCTATTTAAATGTGCAAAGTCTAGGAATGACACAACATAAATAAAATTATGTATCCTAATAAAAATAAAAAAAATAACATGCACATAACATAATTCAGAGAACATAATAAGCAAAAATAAAAGTTTAATACAACCAAATCACAAGAAGTTCTAAGCTCCAACTTCTACTATAACCAAAACGAAAGCAAATTTAATACCAAGTTTACATCCCAAATTAGGATTGTAAGAGATGGGTAATTGGGTAAGCCGCTAAAATAACTTATTAATATATATATATATATTAAATATAGTTATATGCGGGGCGGGGCGGGGCCCCTAGGATATGTATATTGAACCCTTACCTGCCCCGTGACTCTCGACGGGTACAAAATTTGTATCCATGTCTGCCCCAAAGGTATAACAAGTGTTTCCATATCCGTTATTAACGGGGCGGTAAAAATTGACATCCCTACCCACACATCGATCCATCAACCAAAATCCACTTCGCACACATCGATCCATCAACCAAAATCCCCACGAAACCCTAATCATCTAAGCCCAAATTTCGCGAGTTTCACCTTCAGAGGAAAATAACCCAGGTACGTATCTATGTTCTTGGTTCATCTCGGTTCTTCTCTGAATATATATATATATATATATATATATATATATTTGGTTCAACTTTCATCTCTGTTCTTCTCCTCTCTTCCTTCTGTAACTCTCATCAATTTTTTTTCTTTTTTTCATCTTTCACAGCATGGTGGATTAGTTTAAGCCTCTCTAACACAGCTACTGTTTTTTAACTTCCTATTTGATCATCTCTGCGTTCCCTTGGCAATTTGTAGAGTCTCAAAAGAAAAAAAGATAGACTATCTAAATATGCTAAAGTCTAACGCACATATTTTCTGAACCTCATTTGAGGGGTTTTTGTGTGTGTGTGTGTGTGTGTGTTACACTCGTATCTAAATAAACAAAATGCGGAAAAAACTTGTTGAACTTCCTAAGGAAGAGATATTGAAATAGAAGGAAGAGCTTGGAATGTTGCTTTCAAATGTAAACTCCATTACATATGTGATGAGATTTCAACCTAGAGTTAGACAGTATAAGAATTTTAAGAACTGATGATAAAAATGTGGGGGGAAAAACCAACATTTTTTTTTTTGTTGATGTTCATTATTCATGTTATAAGTATTAAAATGATTCATTCAGTGATTGAATTTCAGTTGTTGGATAATGATTTCTGATATTTGAATGGTTGACATGTAATATATCTTCTTTTTTTTTTTTTTTTTGGGTAAGATATCAGCAATGTCAACAATTGGGCATATATCTTCCCACACACCATTGATGAAGGTAGGATAATCTGCGAAAAGGTTCCAGGTTTCTGTTATGACTATTTAAGAGCAATCTAGATCTCTTGAAGTGATTGAGGTAGATAATTGGAGGTGTTAAATTGCTAATAAGGTTGTAAACTTATTATCTAGTGAAGCTGCACAACATAATGAATTAAATCCCATTTAAAAAAGTGTCAATAGGAGGTCTTTTGATGGTGATGAAGACTCCTATTTGGCTGCTAAAACATTCCATCTTGAATTTTGTATTTTTTGGGTTAATGGGTGGTATTGTAAATCTTTGGAGGACTTTGTGGATAGATTGAGAGATAGTAGGCCTTTTGAACAGTTGTTCTTGGCCTTTGTACAGTTGTCTAATGAAATTTTGTTATAAAAAATGTCAATACTTGTTTATGCCTTGTGTGGATTTTCATGATAATTGGTATGCTGAAATTGTTTGAAGGTTTGAACGTGATATGGCTATTTCTAACCTTTGTAATTGAGAGAAGTTCGTTAACTTCCATCTCAGGACATTTTTCTATGAAGGTATTTGAACAATTGACATCACTGAATAAATGATGAAGTTAGTATTGCTGCCCTAATGTGTAAAAATTAAATAAAATAGAGTCAAATCAAGTAGAAGTGACAAAACTTAAATGCTCCAATATGATTTACTTTTCACTTTTCTTGCCACCAATATTCAAGTATTCAACTGTTGGCTTTTTCTTGCCTAATGAGAACGTTCGAATGCCTAAATGAGACTTGATTAGGTAATTGGAGATTTTATTGTTCTATCTCCGAAGAAAAATAGGCTTTTAACGACATCATAGTACTGCTGACGAGCAATAAATGAGTATTTTTAAATTCTCTTAAAAAGAAATATTGCTTAAAATTTTACAAATGATTACAAGAGGCTTGATAAGAGAAAATGATTAAATCTTTGAGTGGTAAAATAGCAACTATAAATATTTTTATAAAAAAATAGCTGCTAGTGATATTTTCTTGAGAATTATAGAGTTGAGACCTCCTCGTAAGGAGGGGGAGGGTTGATGGGTGTTGGTTCGAAGCACTGTCCCCTTTGGTGCATTATAGGGGATCTGCACCTTTTGCCATTTATTCAAGTCGGTAACAACATTTAACTCTGGAATTTCAAATTCCATTTTCCCAACTTTTTATGTAAATATATGTTAAACTGGTAGAATATGATGATAGATTGGAAGATGCAACAGTAGCCCAATAAAGTGAAGGATTTGATAATAAAAATCATAGTACTGGAATTTAATTAAGCAGGTTTTATTTATTTATTTATTTTTTCAATAGGTAAGTTACACATATGTTCCAATAGGGGCTTGAACCCTTAACCTCTCCTACTTGAGCTAAGACTTTGGTGGTCAGCTTGTTTGGTCTTGGTTTCTAAACATTAGTCGCCATCATGGGTTTGAGATGTATCTCTTATAAGGAGATGCTTTACTTCTTTCCATATCACTAATTTGTTGTATTTATTTATATATTTAGTTTCTTTGAAGTACATTCATCTGCCATTATCTTAAATCTCATGTCCAACCATTATTGTAATTATTTTTAATGTTCTAGATTGCTCATGAGAATTTAGTTGTTTTCTTGAAAAATTATTTTGACATACTAGTGAATGAGATCCTTTTTTTGTTTCTTTTCCAACAATGTTGGTTTGTGATTTCCAGTCCCACCAGCTAATTTTACTCAAAACATGAAATAATCTTATGGTAGTCCCTTCATGCCAGAACATAGAGGGCTTTGGTTAAGAAGCAAGTAGAAGACAACAATACCAGGGTGGTTGTCTGGCAAATCCTTTCTTTCACATTAAATGAGAAGGTACAACAATCTTGATGCTTCTTTGTTTTTTTTTTTCATAGTTGTGGACTATTATAGATCATGAAATTAACTGTAGATCTGATTGAAAATTTAGCAGAGTGCTTTTGTGAGGGAAATAATTCTTGAAGAATTGGCTAAGGTATGGGTTTTGGGCATCTTTACTGATTTACCATTCAAAGAGTAGGAGAATTGTAAGGCACAAGATCCTCATGCACTGGGCATGCTTGCAATTTGTTAGGACTTGCTGTCTCTCCACTCCCAACCCCCCACTTCCCTCCCCCACCCCACAAACACACCCAAAAGGAAAAAGAAAAAGGAAAAGGAAAGGAATAAAATAGATAATGTATTGAGTTATTCTACGATTCAACACATCACTGATGATAAGTTGGATCAAAATGTGATGTGTTATTGTTTAACAAATTTTCTTGTATACCATTGAGGGGTTTGTCCCCATTTCTAGTTTTCTACTAAACCTAATGAAACTGTGTATTCCTACTCTTCTAATGTACAAAAAAATATGTAATCCGGTCCAAATATGTAATCAAAATGAACCTATGTACTACTCTTCATTTCTGTTGTGTATTTCTTGCTTTATGAAGTCTCTATCTTGATCTTGTGCCAGAGTTCTTAATTCCTGCTTAAACCAGTCTTGGTCTAGGAAGTGGATTATTGTTTACAGGCCTGAATTAGGATTGGAATCATTGGTCTTGATGTGACCCTTTTTAATTTGTTTTGTAAAGATGTGATTACTAAATTGTTTCTAGCTTTAATTACTCTTTTTTCCATTTGACTTCAAACCTATTAGTTCAACTTTTGAGTTGTGACTTGCTATTAGATGTTTAGATGTTTCAACTATTATCCTTTAATAATCAATTTTATCACCTGTATGCATGTCTCATGATAATTAATATAGTAATAGCGAGAAATTATTATATTGTCCGGAGATTATTGGTATGAGTTAATAATCACAAAATTAATCTTTTTTGACTCATGATGAAGTTGGTGTAGGTTATCAATAACTTCTACTAGAGTTATTGAATAAGTCAGCAAAAAGCTATGGGGGATAAAGGTTGGATGCACCTCGATGACAGGTTATTAGAATAACAAATAGCTTTATTGATAAAAGCTAAAACATTATACCTCTTATTTTGGTAATAATTAAAAGTTTTAAGTCTTTAATTGTAGAGCTTTAGAAGAGTATACAAATGGAGCAGAAAGATTTGTCGCTTGGGCTCGCGTTAATGCAAGGAATCGAGATACCATTTTATGCCCTTGTAAACTTTGTTTAAACTCACAATATCAACATTACCATAAGGTATACGAGCATATAGTGGAAAAGGGAATGGATTCCAATTACACTGTATGGGTCTTTCATAGAGAGAAGAGGAGTACACAAGTAGTAAATGAAGGCAATGAAAATTGTATGGAAATACCTGAAACGTATGAGATGTTCAGGGATGCATATTTTGGTGGTGAAGACAACGTTGCTACAAAGCATATTGAAGGAAGTATAGAGGATGAGTTTAGAGAGGCGTTGGAACATGCTGAAACTCCTTTATATACAAATTGCATGACATTTACAATTATCTCAGCAACTGTTGCTTTATATAAGCATAAAGCTGCTTTTAATCTATCTGACACCGGATATGATGAGCTTCTTAAAATTCTTCGTGTTATGCTTCCACCAGATAACCAGCTTCCTAAAGGAATGTATGAAGCAAAGAAGCTATTAAAGACATTTGATTTGGGGTATGAAAAAATACATGCTTGCATTAATGATTGTTATTTGTTTATAAAAGAAAAGGAGGATATGAATGCATGCCCAAAATGTGATTCTTCAAGGTGGAAAATGAACACACAGAATAGTAAGGTTCAAGAAGGAGTTCCGGCTAAGGTGTTATGGTACTTTCCAATATTACCAAGATTTAGGCGTTTGTTTCGATCGATTGAAAAGGCTGAATAAGTATTGTGGCATTCAACAAATAAAAGTCAAGATAGAAATATGCGACATCCAGTTGATTCACTTGCGTGGGATATCATAAATAAGAAGTGGCCGTGTTTTGCATCCGATCCTCGAAATTTAAGGCTTGGCCTTGCGGCCGATGGGGTAAATCCATTCGGCGATCTTAGCACTAAACATAGTTGCTGGCCGATGATTTTAGTTGTATATAATTTTGACCCATTGCTTTGCATGTCTAAAGAGAATCTGATGTTGATGATGTTGATCTCAGGGCCAAAGCAACCAGGGAATAATATTGATGTGTTTTTGGAGCCATTGGTGGAAGATTTAAAGGAGTTATGGGAAAAAGGTGTTCAGCTTTACGATTCATTTACTAAATCTATGTTTAATTTGAAGGTGATATTGATGTGGACAATTAATGATTTACCGGCTTATTCTAATCTGTCTGGTCAGGCAACAAAGGGTGAGTGTGGTTGTCCAGTGTGTGCTAAAGAAACATGCTCAGAGTGGCTGCCGTGTAGTAGGAAGACTGTGTTTAGGGATACTCGGCGATTTCTTTCAATTAATCACCGATATAGAAAGAAGAAAACTTGGTCTGATGGAAAAGAAGAATTGAGGAGGCCACCTAGACCATTATCTGGTTCAGAAATTTTTCGTGTTGTTGAGAATTTTGAGAATTAAGTGGGGAAAAACGCCTAAAATATGCATGAATTCCAAAGTAAAATCTTCTAAAAACATAAGAGGTCCAACGAAAATCTTTCCCAAAAGAGCAACACTTCCAAAAAAAAACCCAGCACTTCGCCATGGAAGAAAAGGTCTATATTTTTTGAATTACCATATTGGGAGGTATGTAATTTGAAATCATTACGGAGTTTAACTTTTTTGGGCATTATTATTTCTTTGAGGAGATCACATTCTTTACGAATAATTCATATTTTCTTGTTATGATAGGCATTACCTCTTCGCCACAATTTGGATGTGATGCACATTGAAAAGAATGTTTGTGAGAGCATTCTCGGTACTTTATTAAATATGAAGGGAAAATCAAAGGATGGACTCAAGTCTCGTATGGATTTGGAAGAAATGGGCATTAGGGTTGATTTGCACCCAAGGAATCAAGCACGAAACATTACTTGCCACCAGCACTCTATACATTATCAAAGGAAGAGAAGGGCAATTTTTGAAAAGGTTACAACAGTTGAAGTTGCCTGATGGTTATATTTCAAACATTGGGCAACGAGTCTCATTGGGTGAATGCAAGATTAGTGGCCTAAAATCCCATGATTGTCATGTTTTGATGCAACAATTATTACCTATAGCTTTACGTGGATTAGCACATAAAGGTCCGAGGAATGCTATATTTCGCTTATGTGCGTATTTCCATGGAATATGCCAAAGGGTGATTGATAGGAAGCAATTGGAAAAACTTGAAAATGAAATTGTTGAAACTTTATGCATGTGTGAAAGGTTTTTTCCACCATCTTTCTTCGACATTATGGTACACGTCACCATTCATCTTGCACGAGAAGCTCGTCTTTGTGGACCAGTTCACTTTCGTTGGATGTACCCATTTGAGAGGTAATATATTTATAATATTTATTTTATTATATGTAGTTATTGATATTAGTTAGTTTACAGATATAATTTTCTCACGTCATACATAGGATTATGAAGGTTTATAAAGGATATGTTAGGAATCGAGCAAGACCGGAAGGGTGCATAGCAGAATGTTATTTGGTGGATGAATTTGTACAATTTTGTAGTGAGCATATGGAAAAAGTATCTGAAATAGGGTTTCGTCGATCTAGAAATGAAGATATTGAATGTGAAAGTACGGAAAGAGGACGCCCAATATCTAAGGGAATTTCAAAACCCATTCCTCCTGACATGTTAGCCATTGCTCACCGTTATGTATTATTCAACAGTGACGAGGTCGAACCATACATAGAGTAAGATATTATTAATAAATATTTTTTTCTTTAATAATTATCCAAAAAACTTGAATAACCATATTATTTTACATGTTAGAAAGCATCGGGAGGAACTCAGGCGTTCTGACAGTCGTCTAGCAAGGAATGAACATTTGTTAGAAAAGAGACATATGGAGACCTTCAGTTCATAGATAAAAACTATGATCTGTTCAAGTACAAATGTATCAGGTAAGTTAAAGTGGCTTGCACGTGGCCCTAGAACAGAAGCAATGTCCTATGCTGGCTATGTTGTGAATGGTCAACGATTTCACACAAAGGATATTAAGAGAAGCACACAAGATAGTGGTGTTTTTATTGAAGCTGAAACTATATGCCGATCTAGTGTGAGAGACACAAATCAAGTTATTGAAAAAATAACTTACTATGGCATTCTGAAAGATATAATTTTGTTGAACTACTACACTTTTGAGGTGCCATTATTTGATTGTGATTGGGCAAACATTAGAAATGGCATCAAAGTTGATGATGGATTTACGTTGGTGAACCTTCGTGAAGGTCAAAGTCAGTTTGCAAAAGATCCATATATCCTTGCATTGCAGGCTAAGCAAGTGTTTTATTCTAAGGAATCCGAAATGTCAAGTTGGTATGTTGTACTTAAAGCATCAATTAGAGGATCTCATGATGAAGATAGTTTTGAAGAAAACCCTCATGTGCCTTACGCCCCTTTAGATATATCAAGACTTGACATTGTTGATGATGACGATCATCCATATGTACGAGATGATTGCGAGGACCTAATAGTGTAGAATTAAGGGTTATAGTAATTGTTGGTCTTATTTTTTGGTGGCTCTTATTTAGTGTGCAATCTGGTTTTGGTATGTCCATTAATAAAATATTGTTCTGTTGTTGGAGATTGTTTCACTCTTTATTAGCTAGTGAGATAATAATTCATTTGCGTCATTGTATTACTTTGTTATTATTCTTCTCACTGCAGATTTTTAAGCTTCTACGCAGATCAATTTTTACATCCTTATCATTATGTCTGACTATGCCGAGGTAAGCATCAACCTTAGTTAATGTTTTTATTATTTGTAGTTTAATGTTTAAATTTAGGTATGGCCATATTTTTATTGTGTTTTTAATGTTCTTATATCAATTTTCATGTACTTGGAATGAAGAGTTCTAGAAAAGTTACAAAAAGATTAGAACGGGAGCGTCAAGCAATTTTGGCTGGTATGGTGCGTCAACCCTCAGTTATGTGCATTTCTGATGGGGGTTCAAACTCCCCTCATACATCCACAGGTGACCAAAATGTAGTAGTTGGTGAGCCTTCATCCAAATCATGCAAGTTCTCAAGTCCCTACCCCTGTGGACACCGCAACAAGTGCTACGAAATGAAAGGTTAGGGGGAAGTCTACATTGTGTGGTATTGCTTCATCACAAGAAAAGAAGCCCCGTGTGGAATTTGATGAAAACGATCATCCAATTGGGCAAATTGGTAAGAAATATAATTTAGCCCTTCCGATAATAGTGCGGGAGCTTGTGCCGGTAACTATACGAAGATGGAACACAGTACTGGAGCAATTCGGAGATGAATTATGGGAGGCCGTACAGGTATTTTAAAATTGTTTATTTTTATAAAATGGGAGTATATTAGACAGAAACTAAATATAATTTCCGCTCAGTTTTTGCCCAGTTAAATGCTTGTTTAAAGTGTCAACTAATGACTTGTTTCCATTACCTTTGGAATTTGACTATAGATGCAGTTTAATGTTGACGATAGTGCATCTCGATACTCATTTCAAAAGATGGGAGCTGCATAGCGCACCCATAAATCAATTATCACAAGTGATGTGCTGAAGGTGGGAAAAAACACACGAAATATACAACTCATGAAGCCTGACACTATGCCCACAATGGAGGAGTGGCTAAGTTTTGCTAGGCTGCGTTTATCAAAAGAGCATGCTGTGAGTATATATTTTGAATTATATGTCCTTTTTACCTTTTCATTTTTCTGCATGACGTATATAAATTATCTAAAATTTTGTATTTGTAGGTGGAAAGATAGAAAAAGCAAGAATTAAAAGCTAAAAACAAAACCCCCCACACTATGACGGATTGGGATATGCAGGGTTGACCAAGGAGATGGTAATGAAATAGATTTTTCAAATTTTTTTTTTTAATATCATTGCTTAATTTGTGTGAGGTTTTAATGTTTATGTTTATGGGCTTTTATGCTAAAGAGAGATGCAATTTGGTTTGATCAAGTATTTTATACTCTTGGGAGAAAAACTATGTCAAAATATTAGCAAGGTTTTTGCAGGCTAAGTAAGATCACATCATTGACCACTGACACACACACACACACACACATATATATATATATCGAAGTATAATGTTTTCACTTTTCATGCCCCCACTGACATTCTCTATCGTATTTAATAAATACTGTATTCATAAGAATTTTAGAGTTGCTACACTTTTGTAGCCCTGTGTTTCATATGCATATAAAATTGGGCCGTCAGGTAGCTGAGCCTGTTTTACTTCTATATCTCCTGGGCCTGTTTGGGCTTTGTACATACTTTACACACACACGCACATATAAAAAGATTAATTTTATACATATACATGCCAGTGATTGCTTGAGGCTATTAATGGAGACACCCATCTCTTTATCTAGTGATTGCTATTGCACGCTTTGTTTGGGCTGTGTTTGTTGGCCCACTCTATAAACAAAAATTATGTAAAGGACATGCAACTTCATTGGTTTCCTTATGCTACACAGCCTGCTGACACAAATGATGTAGTAAAGGTGTGTGTCTTCTGCTGTAGTAAGAATTGGATATCTATCCAAATGACCATCAACACAATAGTTAAGCACATCAGCTCCCAAACAGTCTCTATTCATTGCGCACTTTCTTGTATTCAGAATAGTTTTATTGACATACATAATAAAGAACACTGCAATTACACACGGGTATTGTACTCACAGCACACATAGCAAGCATGTAAACACTTAAACAAACCATAGTTTGTGAGGTCTGCCAGAACTGAAATTGTAATGGTCACTTTCTTGACCATAATTCAACTTGTGTAACTCCAAATCATCAATTCAATCATGCTTATATGATGGACAATCAGAGTATAGCATGATTATAGCACTCAAACATGAGTGCTGAACCTGTAATTGCCCTTGACAGCCCACTATGTCCTTTGAAATGATAATGCTGAGAATGTAGTATACTTGAACTAAAATAGCTGTGAGGTAATATTTTGATTTTCATAGTTTTTATTTTATTTTATTTTATTTTATTTTATGAGAATCAACCTTAGTAATATGTTTAAATGTTTATGTTTAAGGGCTTTTAATTATGTTATACTCTTATGTAGAAAGAAAGTCAGACGCGCCCAATTCCATTACAAGAGTAGACGTGTGGATTAAAGCGCATAAAAGAAAGGATAAAAGTTATATAAATGAAACAGCCAAGGAGGCAGTGGTAACAAATGTTTACTTTTAGCTTTAGTAGTTGGTCATTTATATACTTATTAAACTAAAAAATGTGTTCTACATATATTATTGTTTCAGGAAAAAATGGAAGAATATACCAGGACCACTCAGAGTACAGGAATTCATGTTGATGCAATCTCACATATAATGGGTCCTGAACATCGAGGAAGAGTGAGACCATTAGGGTTTGGGGTAACAATGACAAAAATAAATGCCCGGAATGTTGTTTCTCGAAAATATGATCGGACGATTGGAGCCTTGGAACAACAGTTGCAGCAACAACAACAAAAACAACAAAAAATGCAACAGCAAATAGAAGCACTGATGGTAAGTGAACTACAAAATCAATAGCATATATGTGTGTATACACAACTCTTAGTCAATAAGTCTCTTTTTTAAGCATTATTAATTATTTTGTTTCTTTGTTTTTTTTCATCAACGATTCAATATTATGGTAGGCACAAAATGCTAACAACCAGTCCTGTGCTCCACCTCAAGCCCCACCTACTGAAGATGTTGTCCATAAGAAGTGTGAGTTATTGCATTATAATGGGACAGGAGTAATTGTTGCTAAGGGTGAAGTTGATTCAATAGATCCTGATGACCTTATAGATGATGTTCCTCTTGGTTTTGAATGCTGGAAAATATATTTCACTGGAGTCATTGAACCCAACGTGCCGATGTACCGAATTCTTCAATCTTACAATACTCTTGAACATGTGACGGGTGAGACAATTGCATGGCCTAGCAGGTTCATCAAAATTCGTAAGTCTAAATTAATATTTTTAAATCTGCATTTTTTCCCAATGATTTGTATAATAACAGGGCTTATCTTCCCTTTATTTGTTTTGACTCTTTTCCTCCCTTTTCTTCCTTCCTTCTTTCATTTTGGTAGGAGCTCTAATTTAATTTATTGTCTCTTTTCCAATATGTTCTCTTGATTCTAAGAAGACTGGTTGAATAGTGCAATTTTTTTTATTTTGTTCTCTCTCTGTACACACACACACACACACACATATATATATTTGTTTATCTACTCTATAATACCCCTAATTTTAAAAGGATAGTCCTGGAATTTAATTGCATTTTTATTAAGTTAATTGTTTTATTGCCTGTTTATTTGTTTTTACGTGTTTATTTGCTCGTTTTTGTTGAATTAATTATTTTATTTTAATTGGTTATTTAAATTGTATTTTGTTTTGTTTCATTAACTTAATTGTATTTTTAAGTATGTTAATTAATTACGTGCTTATGTGAATTAACTGTGTTAGTAATATTAGGGTTTTATTTTACACTGCTGTCGCCGACATAGTTAGTGAATGGATTTTTAGGGTTTTATTTCCTGTTTGTAAAAGTATTGGAATTAGGTTTAAGGTTTGGTTCTATATGTATATATATATCATAATGCGGGTTTCGGGTTTTGGGGATATACACAAAACTCTTCTCACGTACCTAAGAAATAGAGAGAAACTGCAGAGAGCAACAAAGAGAGATTTTGAGAAAATGGAGAGTGAACCTTAGGAGATTTAGAGAGGGGCTCAAGGGGGAGTTCTGGGTTGAACCAAGAGCACCGGAGGAGTGGAACGGCAGTCTAGGACATTGACGGAAAACTCAGAAACGGTGGATTAGAGTTTCAAAACTGAAACTCAAGGCAAGTCTCTGTTCTTCTCTTTCCCTTTAATTCGTGTTCTGTGCATGCCTAGTTAAACTCCAAGGATTAAATCAAGGATAAAACGGATTTAAATAAACGTTATAACAAGTCTTTTATGCATGCATGAATTTTGTTTAGACTCGTTGAAATAACTGCTTTGCATTTCCTTTTATGTTCTGTTATTTGTTTCTTCTGTGGTTTACGATTAAGCTTTGTTTTAGTTGAGATTAGTAATGTGACTCAAGAACAAGTATTTTGAACAATATATAAAAATTCACTGAATTAATCTGTGGTTAGTTGCTTAAAAGTTCTGACGGAGTTTCTGTGATATTGTTTCAAAACTTGTGTTCCATACATGTTCTGATTGGATGTTGGTGGTTTAAAATTTATCTAGGACTAAGATTGAACCTAGAATGATAATTAAAACACAATACAGAGGCTCTGTTAATCACCGGAGTCGAAGAAGACAAAGGGAAAACGGACAACGGCTGCTAAGGGAGAAAGAGCAGGCTCCCAAAACCCTTAGAGTCGGCTCCCAAAGAGTTGGAGCCGGCTCTTAAGTGATTTAGAGCAGGCTCTAAGTGAATTAGAGCCGGCTCTAAGTGGTTTTGAGTAGGCTCTAAATTTTTAAAGAGCCTGCTCTTTCCTAAAATGCTACAGAATTGATTTTTAGGGACTGTTTGGGCTATACTGGGTGTATGCACTTCGTTTAAATTGTTTTAAGTAATGTATGGGACTTTATAAGATTGGTATTATGATGGAAAAACATTAATTCATAATTAGACAAAGGAATGGAGTGAGTTGCAGTTAAGGAATAACGGTAGAATGCACACTGTTTTGGATGTTTAAATCAGTTGCTAAAACTTGAAGGTTCTGTTTTATATAATTGTTCACTGTGTAAATTACATTTAATCAGTGTTACCAGTGTAGTATATTAGAGAGGTCATCTATACTTGGTTTGGAACATAATTGATATGTATGTATATTAATTGTATCAATTTGTGGAGTTTATGGAGGATGCAAATGCTGTGACTCATGGTAGCAATTTAAATAGTTGGAATGTGATTTTAGACTCTATAATGAATGTCTAATATCATGATATATGTGTTAAACTATATGATGCATATCTTGGATAGTAGTATATAAATAACAATTATTGTTTTAACAATTATGTTATGTGGAGGTTTGTATGCACCAGTTTGGGACGGTGGAATACTAGGGATGGATTGGTAAAACACTAAATCCTATCTATCTTGGAATAAGTTGGATTAACTATAAAACGTTAAGTCCTGCTTATATGGATGTTTATGCACCGGTATGGGACGGTGGCATATTAGGGATGGCTCGGTTCAAAACACGGAGACCTACCTATATTGGGGATGGATTAGTTCAAACACTAAGTCCTACCTATATTGAAATAAGATGGATTAACTACAAAATTTAAGTCCTACTTATAACTAGGTGTCAGGTCAATAAACCTTTTGAATGACACACTTGGAACGGACTTTATATACTTATGTTATGGTACCATGGTATGAGCTTGAGTCTCAGGACAATGGTTAGGGTACGTATATCGCCTAGGATGGATAGCTGGACAGAGGTGTTCCCTGGTAGGTCTAGGTACACATGACCACATTATGTGCCATTTGCATGGTATCTCTACTCAGGTTGAGACAGACCTATTGGACTAGTGAGCGTCCTATAGTGTACTTATACATATATGGACTACTCTAGCTATTGTTGAGTCTATCTAGGATGTACCTGTGTATCGGATTCCTGTTTGGATCGTAGTAGAATACGACTTGCATGTAGGCCTGACCCACTCTCTTATTTTTCAGGTGTTCGTCAGTTCCAGGGTTAGGGTTTGATCGTGCAGAGCAGATACGGATTTCTATTCTTCTGACTACGTAGGACTACTATCTTATTAGCTTTGGATTTTATTTCAGTTATTTTGTTTTACAGTTGGGATTTTTATTAGGGGTCCACTAGATGGATTCCCGAGTTGTTAATTAATTGGAGGTTTCGGATTAGTGGATGTTCAGTTTTAATATTTAAGGATTTTATTTAGTTTTCTTTCAGCTATTAATTATTTCTTATTTCAACTTGTATTCTGTGTTCATTAAAATATTAATTGTTTGATATTTCCTTCGGGTTTGGGCCTGGGCCTGATCAACCTGTGTCTCGGATCCGAGGGGTATCACATGGTCACTCACTGGTGTGGAAGTAATTCAATACTTTTTTGAGCACGTTTTAAAAAGTTTTTAATGATATATCAATATGAAAAACACTATTTGGTTTACATGCAGGGCCGAACGTGGGATAAGCATGTATTTCTGAGTTTTTGCTTAAATGATGCTTGAGGTATCAATTTTTTTTTGCTTAGAACTTCCAAAATATTAAAATACAAGATAGAGATACATGATTATCATCTACTTCCAATTTTTTCTCTATTTACAGGTTCAAGATTATCATCTTCTTTTGGGATACCTAGGTGTACTTCTTTTGGGATACACTATTTGGTTTACATGCACGGCCTGGGATAAGTTTGCATTTTTGAGTTTTTGCTTAAATGATGCTTGAGGTATGTATTTTTTTTTATAGCTTCCACATTCATGGGATCAATTGCTAAAATATGTTGATAATTCTCAAGATTCTTGCTGCACGAAACCACTACCTCATGAACAGATCCAAACTTTTCTCTATTCCAAGTTTTAATAGACTTCTTGGTAATTTTAAGTTTCTGAATTAGCTTTTTAATTAGATCACCCCCTACCTCTCGAAAAAATTGGAGAAAGTTGTGTGCCCAACAGCTCAAGTCCATGTCACTATTTGAAATTTCATTCATGAACATGAATCACATGGATAGACAATAATTTAGGATGATATGGAAATCAGGTGGGATTTCATTCCAGGCTATGGTTTTAGGATATTTTTGGATTTTCTTTGAATTTGAATAGGCCAGTTAGCTATTTACATAGCTTTTTTGTGAAAAATTCCTTATCATAATGGAGTCATTTTGAAAATGGTAGCATCTAAAAAATGATTTCAAGATATTGAAATCTGTCAAAGTAAGGATTTTTTTGAAGAAATTCAAATTTAGTTCTTGGTCTAAATGACACCATTTAAATGATGATGACTGCATTGAAATGCTATGCAAATCATAGTGGTGCCATTAAAATTCAAGGTCGTCGGAAGAGGCTCTTAGGAATTGACAATGTGAGGTTTTCCTCTTGTTCTTGAGGCTCAAGTGCTTACAAATGTGGCTGCTATTAATAAAAGATGAAAACTAAAAAATTTAAACTTTACACGTAAGATTCTAATCATTAAATTGTAGATATGCTAATTTGGGCTCATGTGATTGTATAACATTCAAAGAATTTTTCTGTAGCATCTCATAAAATTCAGAAGTGCTTGTAATATCACAATTGGTTTTGATATGGAATATCACATTTGATTTTGATTCCAATATCACATTCTAATAGATATAGACATTTTGCCTCTGCTTATTGTATTATATTCTGGCTGATTGTTGAAGATAAATGATTGATAGGAGTTGTTTGTGCGATGCCTGTTGATGTAACTCATTATTGTCATTTCAACCATCTTCAAAGAAACTGTATAATTGTACTTGAACAATCTGGAAATTTTCTTTTTAGATATTTGAAAGAGTTACAAGAACATGTTGGTTCTGTCTAAGTTTGGACATATTGAATTAGCTAATTGACACATTAGTAGAAAAATTTTAAGCGGATTGAGCAACTAATAAATTGAAATTCTGTCTAAGCTGAACACATGCACCATTTAGAAGGGAAGAACACAAAATTTTACTACTTACAGATTAGATAAAATAAATGAGATCTTGGAATATATTCAATTTACACCAAGCTGTTGTAGATGTGGATACTTAGTCTGCATAGTGACATAAACCAAGCTATTTTGATTGTGGGTTATATTTATTTGTTGATTGCTTCTATATGAACTTGTTTTCTTTACAAAAAATATATAGTTACTGTTTCACTACTTCAACTGAATCGATCAAATTCTAATATTGAGTATGATCTTAGGTTGTATAACACCCAGGAATGAGTATTCAAATATCTGTATTGATGGATTGTAGGATTAATTTGTACTTTTGAAATAATAGAGATGCCCTGTTTCCAAGGATAATGTTATAGATAAATACATACTTACACACATGTGTGCGTGCATATACATGTACCGATATTGGTAATTTACAGATAGATAATTTATATGAGACTGTAATCTATAATGTTTGGGTCAATATGTGTGTGTTTTCTTGTAGAGGGGCTAAGCTGTTGATACTTCAGTTAGTATCAATTCCTTTCATGCTTAAGTTTCTTAGTTGGTTAGTTTTCAATTTTTTATTCATCTATTTATTTTGGGGTATCCTTTGTTTACCTTCCAGCCATGGGATTGTGATCTACCATTTGAATTTGTTAAAGAGCTGCTCCTGGGGTTCTCGTTGAGTCATTTTGATGTCAACCAAGAGTAACTTTACATAGACATACATATTTATAATTCACATAAACAACGTATATGCTTTCTGTGTCACATTCTATCTCAGAATATTAGCATTCTCCTTTTTGTTGAATTACTCATTTGTCATTTCCCTCAACTATGTTTTGATTGTGATGATTTATGGATTTTACATGTTGTGGTCCATGCCTGAGAGGTTAAAAACTTGGTGTTTGCATTGTGAGAGATTTTAAGTGCAATCTCAAATGCATTAGTGGCTGTCCATTCACAATTCTTTGGGTCTTTCGGATTCGGAAAGACTTGCATATGTTTAGCGAACATGGAATCTGCTTTGGACTGAGTGGATGATCAAAAGAGTTGTTCAACAATCTATCTTTTTAGACTTCTTTCTCTTTGGTTGTCAAAAATAATTTTGTGACAATGTTCTGCAAAATGGATTAATAAATTAAAATTCATATTTTAACATTAATGTGATTTTGTCTGCTCTTCTATAGTCTGACCATGCTACATATTAAGTGCACATTACGTACTTACTTCCATTCTTTAGTTGTCTCTAACAAATTAATTAATTCTACCCAATTCTATTTTATCTATTTACAGGTTCAAGATTATCATCTTCTTTTGGATACCTGGGTGTGCTTCTTAGGGTATTAGAATATGACGATGGGCACTACAATGAAGATATCAAGACAAGAAAAACACCAGACCAATTGGGTTGCCTAGAAGAGTGAGCAATTGCCTTTATATTTTGATTTTTTGTGGGTATTGCTACTTGCCAGGTTACAATTTTCGTAGGTATACATATATGTCAACAATGATGGAATTATACATTGCAATCTTTAATGAATATAAGACTTCTTGAAATTTATTTGTTTATGATTGGTGGGATTTGCCCTTTTTTATTTTTTGTAAAGCTTGACATATTTTTTTGCGTGCATCAAATATATATGTTGATGTTGTTGATTTGCACAAGGTTTGGTATGAAAATATATAACTTTGGGTGGAGTTTTGGTTGTGTAATATTTGTGGAATGAGATGTTGGATGAGTGATGGTTATTGGCCAGGTTTCTGTCTTGGATCTCATGAAAAACAGGCATAATATTTGTTTTAGGTGGAAACAAAAAATATATATATATACATATACCACTTTTCACAATGGGCAAAGTCTAGCAAAACAAGCAAAAATTGTTGTGGAAAGTTACATTTCTAAGATGGGCTATGTCAATTGACGGGCTATGTCAATTGACTTTCTACGACAGGCAATAATCATTGTGGAAAATGACACCTTCTACAACGGGTCACTTTCTAAGAGGGGCAACGTCCGTCGTAGAAAATGACACCTTTTACAACGGGTCACTTTCTACAACGGCCATTGCCCATTGTCATAGTATGAACTTCTACAATGGTTTTCAATCGTTGTAGAAAGTTTCCTTTCCACAACATGCTAGAACAGTTGTAGAAGACTCTGAGTCAACAACGACAGGGGATACCACAACGGGCCATGCCCGTTGTAGAACTATTTTTCGCCCTTTGTTAAAAGCCATTTTTCTTGTAGTGGGTAATACCAGTTGATGTGTTGTCTTAGCCATCTATTTTTGAGGAACCGTTCAGCTCAGACCCTCGGCAAATTAATGTTGTACCATATGAGCCGAGTTGGATTGACCCAATCATGACTTTCATAAGGGATGGTGTGTTGCCCGAGCGGAACAAAGAAGCAAAAAAGATCAGGTCAAATGCTGCAAAGTATGTTATCGTACGCAATCAGTTGTACAGACGGTCTTTCTCAGGTCCGTACTTGAAGTGTGTAACCCCCACAAAAGCTAGACAGATCTTGCGAATGATCCATGAGGGAGTGTGTGGTAATCATTCAGGAAGACGATATCTAGCGCATAAAGCAATGACACTAGGATACTTTTGGTCGAACATGTTACGGGGTGCAGAAGAATTCTCTAGAAGATGCGATAAGTGCCAAAGATTCGGACCATTGATCCACCAACCACCTGAAGACTTGCACGTAATGGCCAAACCATGGCCTTTCCCGCAATGAGGGATGGATCTGGTTGGCTCTCTGCCGACCGTCAGGTCGCAGAACAAGTAGGTTATGCTGGCGACAGATTACTTTACAAAATGGGTGAAGGCAGAACCATATCTTAGTGTGACCCAAACTCAAGTTAAACGTTTTATCTGGAGTAATATTATTTGTCGCTTTGGCGTCCCAAAGTTAATCATCATGGATAATGGGACTAATCTTGACAGTAAACAAGTGAGGGAGTTGTTGGAAGAATATGGAATCAATCATAAGTTGGCAGCGGTTAACCATCCGCAGGCAAATGGTTAAGCTGAGATCACGAACAGAATGATTTTCGCTTGTATCAAGAAGAAGCTTGGATGAAAAAGGAAAATGGTTGGACGAGCTCCCGAACGTCTTGTGGGCTTATAAAACGACTTCGAGATGGCAGACTGGGGAAAGTCCATTTGCTATGGCATACGGCACCGAGGTAGTAATACCAATTGAGCACTTAATTCTTACTGTTCGAAATTTAGCGTGGAATCAAAAGCAGAATGACAGCATGCTGAGGTTTAACCTTGATCTGCTGGAAGATAAAAGAGATGCAGCAGCGATAAGGCTCGCATCTTATCAGCAAACACTCGTAAATAGCCACAACAAAAAGGTGAAGCATAGAGGCTTTGCACCTGGTGAACTGAATCTGAAAAAGAAGGTGGGGATTGTCAAAAAGATGATGTCACCATGGGAAGGCCCATACAGAGTGGCAGAAGCCATAGGAAAAAGGGCATATACTTTAGAAACTATGGCTGGAAGATTGGTCAGCAAACCATTGAATGCGACATCTCTAAAAAGGTACTACCAGTAGATATTGAATTATATTTTAAGCAATACTCATTTGAGGTTACGTTCTTGCAAATGTATGAACTTTTCAAAGATTTATAAAAAGAGTTTATTAAGTTTCAAAATTTGATTTGAACCAAACACATGCACCAAAAAGTGTGTGAAGTGACAAGTGTCATTCTAGCCGAGCGCCAAGCACTTAGCAAACTAAGTGGCAAGTGACACTATTAGCCGAACGCCAAACACTTGCACCAAAAAGTGTGTGAAGTGGCAAGTGGCATTCTAGCCGAACGCCAAACACTTAGGAAAGTAATTGGCAAGTGGCACTATTAGCCGAATGCCAAACACTTGCACCAAAAGGTGTGTGAAGTGGCAAGTGGCATTCTAACCGAGCACCATGCACTTAGTAAAGTAAGTGGCAAGTGACACTATTAGCCGAACGCCAAACATTTGCACCAAAAAGTGTGTGAAGTGGCAAGTGACATTCTAGCCGAGAGCCAAGCACTTAGCAAAGTAAGTGGCAAGTGGCACTATTAGCCGAACGCCAAACACTTGCAACAAAAAGTGTGTGAAGTGGCAAGTGACATTCTAGCCGAGAGCCAAGCACTTAGCAAAGTAAGTGGCAAGTGGCACTATTAGCCGAACGCCAAACACTTGCACCAAAAAGTGTGTAAAGTGGCAAATAACATTCTAGCCGAGCGCTAAGTACTTAGCAAAGTAAGTAGCAAGTGGCACTATTAGCCGAACGCCAAACACTTGCACCAAAAAGTGTGTGAAGTGGCAAGTGACATTCTAGCCGAGCGCCAAACACTTAGCAAAGTAAGTGGCAAGTGGCATTGTTAGCCGAATGCCAAACACTTGTGCAGAATAAAAGTCAAGCGGCAAATGGCACTAATAACCGAACACTGAACATGTGTGAAATGAAAACCAAGTAGGAAAATCAAGTTATCGACTCATTCAAAATTGAAAAATAGGAACTTTGCAAAGCAGAAATATCATTTCATTCATCACAAGATAAGTTCTTGGAGTACATGAGTTAATGCTTTCTTTTTAAAAAAAAAACTACAAAGAACAGCAAAACGCTAGTTTGCAGTTTCTTCCCTTAGTCTAGGTTCATTGCCTTCCCCATCATCACCAGTCGGCTCGTTGCTGTTCTCTTTACCATTGACCACATTACCATCTCTGGGATGAGAGTTAAGATGAATGACCTCATCAGTCAGTAGAATTTTTTCAGAGGCAACTGATAAGGAAGGAACGATGGTGGTGATGGGAAGAACGTTCAGAGGGCGAAAATGAGGGATGATCCCTGAAGTTGCAATCTCTTGGCACTCAATAAAAATATTTTCAGCAGAGGCAGAGGGTAGATCCTGGTAAGGGTTTGGCGGGTCAATGTTCAGAGAGGCATCCAGCTCATCTGGACCAGCACAGGAGCTCGATTCGCCCTCGGGGGGAGAACGGTCAATGAAACCATCTTTATACCCCTCAGCATACCTAAGAGCCCCAATCCTAGTGAAGCGAGCATAGAGAGCTCTCATGCCACCATTAACTCTGCCTATGACGTTCAGCACAGCAGAGCGCTCGTTTGAGAACTTCTCCTCAGAATTGGAATGGGACAACCGTTCAGCAATCAAGGTGTGCTGGAAGTCCCCAGGTCCCCCTTCTCAGCCTTCAGTGCATCCCTCTCTGTCTATACGACGTTCTTCTCTGTCTTCAGAACGTCCGCATCATCTTGAAGAGCATCCCACTCAGCCTTAAGAGCGTCTCTCTCAGTCCTCAAAGCGTTCATCACTTTCTCTGATTTATTCAGCTTAACCAGCAGCTCAGTGTTTTTGTTTTTAGTTAGTCTCTCTGAGTCAACAGATCTTTTGAGACCAGCAGTGAGGGATTTGATCTTCTTGTTTAGAACTTCAATGTTCTTTTGAAATGCGAACATCCCAAACAAAGTCTGCACAAAGGCAAAGGTGTTCTGTTAAGTATAACAGTCAAGTAATCAGAACGAGGAAAAATATATAAAGAGGAGAAGAAGAGTTACCTCAACAGCAGCTACTGGGAATTTCTGATACATTTCATTGAAGGTCATTTTGTTCTGAACTTCAATGTCTTTGGGAGTCCAAAGGCCTTTGTAAAAGGCAAATGATGTGAGTGGATCCTTGAACAGGGAGTCTGTGGGGGCAATGATTGACCCATCCTCAAGACTAAGAAAGGGGCGTCATGGGGTTACTGTTGGTAAAGAACCAAAGTTCTGGTTAATTCCCCCTCCGGAATGGATAGCTGAGGAGAGGGGGTAGGGTTAGTGACCTTGAAAAGGGTCCGGGCCCTTCGTGCTGGAGAAAGGTCACTCTGATCAAGACCTCCTTCAGGCATGGGTCTTTTTCCCAAGTTCTTCTCTGAAACACCAGCCTGGTCAGGAGGAGATCCTCCAATGTTCTGAGAAGAATCCTCAACATCCTGAGCACCATTTGGGGAAGCCTCAGTCAGAATGTCAGAGGTTTCATTGTTCGGCTCAACAGGCTGAACTTCAGCAGAGGTAGATGCAGAGCGCTCAATGGTCGGATGCTCGGTAGCTGGAACCAAAATAGGGGCAGTTGAAGTGGTCTCTGTGGTGGCTGGTGCAGCTGAAGAAGTAGGAGCCGAACGTTTTCTCCTGCTGAAAGAAGGAATTTGAATACTCTCCATGATGGATCCTAGAACTGATATGTCATAGAGGTTTTCAGGGGTGAGCAAGTCGGCAGCTGAGGGGATATTGTTCTGAACCCTTTTTTTTCAAAATGTCAAGTCTGGCCCTGCAAACGCTGTAAACTAACTCATCATGATTTATTTGAAGACAACTACAAAGAAAAGTATAGAAACGAGGAAGACAGGATTCACAATGGCAGTCGGAATGATGTTTCTTAAATTTCTTATATTGAAGGACAGAACACTCTCCAAAAGTGGTTGGGATAGGGAAAGTCTGAGCGAATGGAGTTCGCCAATTTCCACTGACCCCAATTAAGTTTTTCTTCCAGCGCTTTTCAAATGAGAGCTTGTCCGTACAGATGGATCGTTTCTCGATAGGATGGAAGTGAAAGTACATTTCATTGCTTTTGGTTTTGATGATTTGGTAACAAAAAGAGAAGGTCTATGATATCTAGGTCAAGACCCTTATCATGATTCAAAATTAAAAAGATTGAAATCACCCTAAGGAAGTTAGGGTTAACCTGAAAAGGGGAAAGCCCTAATTTGCTGAAGACATAACAGAAGAACGGGTGGAGAGGAAATCTGATTACATTCAAATGAAGAGCTAAAAAGAGAATCTCCCCAGGAAGAAGACCCTCACCGGTGGTCTCATCTAGATTCACTGTATAAACCTTGAGGGAGACATTATTTGGGATATTGTTTTTTGAACGAATAACATTTAGATCAAGGGGAGCCATTTGAAAAAGGGAGGAAATTTTTAAAGTGTAAAGATCTTTTCTTCTAAAAAGAGAGGAGCAAGAGTAAGGAACTGACCTTGAAAAGGGAGTTTACAGAGTATCCGGTCACAAAGCAAAAGTCAAATTGCAACAGGAAAAATTCGCCAGTGAAAACAAGGGAAGCTCGCCGGAAAATACAGGTAGGTGACAGAAGTAATTGAAGAAGACGACACTAAAAGATAGAGATAAGAAAGGTTGAAGAAGGGCAAAAGATAGGAAGTTGGGTTTTTTAAAGTACAAATGATTCAACATTCAAGGGGTTGTGTTGAAGATGGTGCAACAGATCTCAAAGCGTGGGTCTCTGAACCAACCGTTCGCTTCCCCACGTCACCACTTCGAGCCGTCAGGTCATGATTATGTCCTTTCTATAATCTCATCCTAATTAATTAGGGAGAGATTATGGGGCCAGATGAGGATACCAAAAATGACATGGGCCGAGTACGATCTAGATGGTGAAGAGTGGGCCAAACAAGAACAATCATTTAGGACCAAGCCTCCATTTGTCAAGCCCAGAACCGGGAAACCATGTTGAAAGCCCAGCTTTAGATAGAATGAATTGAGCCCATAATCAAGAAGAGCCCAGAATAACAGCCCAATGCAAGGAATTAGTTAGGAAGCTTCTAGAAGATCTGTAATAGTTTATAAATAGACTGAAAATAGAGGGAAAATGGATTGAAAATTTTTGAAGTATAGAGTTAGTCTTTCTAATTTCAGAGGGAAAATTTCTTGCATTTTCAAAAATATTATTTTGTTCGTTTGGATAGCACCTTACCAAAACTACTCTCATGATTTCAATTATTTAAAAATAAATTAATTTTGTTTTAGATTAATTCTCTTTATACCCAATTATTTATATCAATTTTTAACAAATAAATAGTTAAATGGTGGATTATTAAAAATAATAATTATTAATTATATTCATATTTAAATTAGAACAAATTAAGAAGGATTGAATTTTAGATACTATTTTTTTTTTTTGTTTCAATAATAATTATTTATATTCATATAGTTCATTAAATGGCAACACTCGGCTAAAATTTGTCATGCAAAAATAGCATATTTTATGGTTCATGCATAATTTTCTAGTCCATTCTTTTCATATTTTTTTATTCTAAACCACTTTTATGCAATTTTTTTTTTTGCAAGATTCATACCTGATTCGAGTATAAAACTCCATCCAAATTTTCAAACATATATAGATAGTAAAAATATATATTATACTTGCTTATTGTGTTACACAGATAATATTATGATTCTATGTATCACTTTCTGCTCATATTCGTATTGAGATATCGGTGAAAATTAAAAGCAATATTATATAACATTTCTGTTTTATTTTCAAAATGTTAAACAAACCGAAGGTAAAGATATGTTGGATATGCAATGAAATTCAAAAGGAATTATAAAGTAATAGATGTTTAATAAAAAAAATAGTAAGTGCACTAAGAGCAGCCTCAAACTTTTCCTTACTTCTTTCTCTACCCTTTCTCTCTCCTAGCCACTTGTCTCCTTCGATTTTGCTCCCTTCCATGAGGGTGGGGAGGTAACCTTACTTGCCTCATACAAGTTAATAACCTTGGTGCCTGTCTCAATAAGTTTGTCCTATGGGTGATTTTTTAGGTCGTTTTTTATTTTTTGTGACTAGATCTACTTTTATTTGGTTTGTTTTTGGCTCGACATGGTGGATTTGTTATTTTCCCTTCGACTAGATCTCTGATCTGGATCTATTTTTGTTTTCCCTGTCTTGATTTGATCTTGTGTGGGATTGGGTGTGTGGAGGCGCCTTGTGGATGCAATTTTGGAGTTATTGCCTTGATGATGGCCTGACTTTTAGTCACGTCAGTTGCTGCTCTTCTCCCTTGGTGGTTTTCGTTCTAAAGCACTGGCTTTTTCTCAACAAATTTGGAGTCTATTCTTTATTTTTATTGCTTTGTTTCGTGATTTATTAGTTTTTATCTGACTTTACTTATGTCTGTGTACTGTCACTTTGACTTAGTTTTGGAACTGGAGAAAGAAATTTGTATCAATAATATGTGCACAAGAACGAGCTACAGAGAAACAAATCAATTGCGATAAACTAGAAATAAAATAAAATACATACTTTTCCCCTTTTTCACTTTTCCTTTAACCAAACACTTAAAAAAAAAAAAATTCTTTTCTAAAACCAACTTAGTGTTGTAATAACTCTTCTAAAGAAATAAGGATCAGATCATTTGGAATACATTACAAATTATACAATACACCACATTGGACGGACGTTTGTGATCACTCCAGCGCCGCACTCGCAAGAAATATACCGGGAACTTTGGTGCTTTGATAGACTATGGCTTATGGGACCCACAAATATTTTCTGCTAAAGCCAGTTACATGAGGTGTCACGACAAACATTCGCTAACATACTTCTCACCCATCACCGTCCATTTTACTCTAAATCACAGAATTTTACACTAAATCAAAAGCCAATAATTAAAGAATAGAAACTCAATAGAAAGACGTTGACATTATTGCCAATTATTTAAATCAATTTTTAACAAATAAATAGTTAAATGATGGATTATTAAAATAATAATTATTATTTATATTCATATTTAAATTAGAACAAATTAAGGAGGATTGAATTTTAGTTACTATATATATATATATTTGTGTTTCAATAATTAATATTTATATTGTATAGTTCACACACTCTAAGCTAAAATTTGTCATGCAAAAGTAGTATATTTTATGTTTCATGCATAATTTACTAGTCCATACTTTTCATATTTTCTATTCTAAACCACTCCTAAGCAAATTTTTCTTTGGAAGAATCATATCTGATTCAAGTATAAAACTCTATCAAATTTCAAAGATATATAGATAGTAAAAATAGATATTATACTGGCTTATTGAATTATATATTTTCATATTATATTTGTATTGAGATATTGGTGAAAATTAAAAACTAATCTTATATAACATGTCAGTATTTAATTCTTACTTTATTTTCAAAATGTTAAACAAATGAAAGGTGACGACATATTTTATATACAATGAAATCAAACTAGGAATCTCAAAAGGGTTGTTTTTTATTTTTATTTTTATTTTTATTTTTTATTATTTTTTTTTTCTTCGTTCGAAAGGGCATCCGGAAAGTAAGAATTATAATGTAATGGGTAAGTAAAAGATGTTTAATAAAAAATAAGAGTATTTGAACTAAAGAATGAATTTTAAATTCCAATAATATATGAACGAGAATAACGTACAGTGAAACAAATCAATTGGGATATAATAGAAAACATAGAAATAAAATAAAATACATACATTTTTCCAAAATATTCACTATTCATTTAACTAAACTCTTAAAGAATTTTAATTTTTTTTTTTTTTAATCCCTAAAAGCAACCCTTAGTGTTTTAATAATAACTCTTCTTAAAAAATAAGGATCAGATCATTTGGGATGCATTACAAATTACTATACAATACACAGAAATATACTGGGACCTTTGGTGCTTTGATAGACTATGGCCTATGGGACCCACAAATATTTTCTGCTAAAGCCAGTTGCAAGAGAGAGTATTACTATGGTGTCACGACAAACATTCGCTGACATACTTCTCACCCCATCACCGTCCATTTTACTCTAAATCACATCGAACGAATTTTACACTATATCAAAAGCCAATAATTAAAGAATAGAAACAACTCAATAGAAACACGTTGACATTATTACCCTCCGATAACTCCGAGTGACTGAAACAGATACAGCCAAAGATAGGCTCGTATATCATCGTTCACCCAATCAATCTCTTGTTTGTGAAATTGAAAGTCATAATATTGGTATTACGTGTTCTTGCTCTCTCTCTACTTTGTTGTGCTATTCCTAGGCCGCCGTAGAATCTTTATCCGATTTCGAGCTTCTTCAAGGTTTAATTCTTAGCTTCTCTGGTTTTGACGTAAAAATTTTACGCACCCATTTCCAAATTTGAGCTTAATCTGTATATATTGATCATGGTGACTTATGTTGTATCAATATAATCATATCTTACTTTTTGATTCTGAGTTTCTTCTTTAAGCTGTTTTTGCTTAAATTTCAATTGGGTTGTCTTTTCTTTTCTTTTTTTCTTTTTTATTATTACTGTTGGATTGGTTTTTTTGCTTCTGCTTTTGTTTTGGCAATTGTGTCGTTGTTGTTTAGGTTTTTTTGATGTGTTTCTAAGCTTGGGAATGACAATTCTTTTATTTATTTATTATCATTATTTTTTGTTATGTTTGAGTTGATTTGGTTGGGTCCACTTCCTGAAATTTGTGGTTTTGATTGATGGAACATGGTGATGAAGGGTTGAGTTGTAGATTCCATTCATCAGTTTTTAAACATATTTTTGTGTAATGATTGATTTATATAGGCATCTCCTGGTTCTGTTAGTACAAGATTTAGGGATTCTGATAGAGCAACCCTTAGCAGTGGCTGAATTGGTGTTTATAATTTTTTTTTTTTTTTTTTTTTGAATTTCCCATTTCTGCTCCATTTCATCTTGTTAAACTCAATGCTTTACTCAAAGCAAGTAATTTTAGTGCCCTTTGTAGTAATTTTCACATATGGCATTTGTGGCTTAATTTCAACTTGCCATTTGTTCTTCTTTGAACAAGTTCAAGCCTGCTCGAGAAGCTCTCATTGGTCACAAATTAGGAGATTTTTTTTTGTCTTCCAAAATCTTCATTCTTCCATCAACATTAATTCATCTTTGTTGTATTTACCATTTGAATGCCAAGACCCAAGAATATTCCATTCAACAAATCCTCATCCCAGCTAATCAATATCAGCTACATGGTTTTTTTTTCCTTATTTGTATTAAAGACATATCTTCGACAACATAGATATTCATATCTTTTTCACAGCCTTGGCCCTTTATCATTTTGACCTTTCACTGCCCATTACTTGTTACACTGTCGTCTTTGCTTTCCCTATGTGCAGAATCAACTTATCTTTTACCTGAGTTCTTTTCAATTTTACCTGCCTATCATTTTGAACTGAACCAGCATTCTTTTTATCTCCATTGAATGAACTATATCATGTCCTTTTTTGTTCCGACTTTCATCAATTGTTAATAATCTTTCATGAAAGCAATGCTTTGTTATTCTTGGTTATTCCATAATCTTTTAATAAGTCTTCTTAAGTATCATCACTATTCCATTAAGTTTCTTTTGTAGTTAGGTCAGGATTAAAACCACATTTTAAAGTTCACTTCAATCACTCTTCTCTGACTTTTGTCTTTATTTAATATCGTTTCCCTTCCCGATAGTTGACATTTTTTTCTCATATATTCAACTCTCAGTTGATTTATTTATCTGAGATTAGATTTTACGAGTTAATTGGAAAAAAATTAAAAATAAAAACATATGAGTTAAATATATATATATCTTCTCCATCCTCCTCCTGCCCTCATTCTGACAACTACAAGACTTGATTGAGTATCCAAAACCATGTAAATTTGTTCCACTTTAAATGTTTTGGGCATGCTTGGGAGTTACCACGCTGAATAATGGCTAGAGATTAGTTTTAGGACTTCATGGAATGATACCCTTCCATTTTTTTATTCCAATGTGGGATTATGGCTCCCATTTTCTTGAATGGCTCATTCTGAATAAAGTTTTTGTTCAACAATCTTACATTAAGAATGGAGCAATGCTTTTTCCATGGATGTCTAGATTTCCCCTGAGTACGTTGCTGACTTCGCAGCTCCTATTATGAATAATATATTTATATATAATTATTAAAATGCTCTTAAATGGTAGACTAACATTATCTGCTTAACATTTTTATTGTCATTGCATTACCTTGAACATAATTTTGTCAGAGTTCGTGCTTCTCTCAATTTTTATGTTCAACTGTCCACTTCTAAGTGTGCTGTCTTTCATTTCATGCTTTTGAGGTTGAAGGCACAAATTCAAATTTTGGTTTTCATTATTAATGGGACTCACCCCAATTAATTTTAGAATTGGGACCAATATCAAACACATGCAAAGTTGTGGGACTTAAAAGCCAAAGTCACTCTAGTTTTCCCCATAATTTTTTTATTGTACTCTCTCTCTCTCTCTCCCTCACTTCTTTTTGTACTTCCTAGACTTTGAATATCTTTCATTAAAGGGCCGTACCAGCATTACCAATGCTACATAACAGTGATCAATAATTTGGATACTGTCACTTCTACTCCCAGTTGAAAGTGAAATTTCAGAATTGGTCGAAATGGCAGAATATCTTTTAGAGATAGAATGGCTAAGTTGGCCAATAATTTTTTTTTTGGGTAACTAAGTTGGCCAATAATTTGAAAAATCAAAAGGGAAATGTTTAATTTTCTTCATTATTATTTAAAGGCTTGTCTCGATATTAAGACAAGAATTTTTTTTGTATGTTCTTGGAATCTGTCTTACAGTGTTCTAACTTTAAGGATATGCTAATTCATTATGTTCTTTTGACAGATGCTGCAAGTTATGAACTCTAGGAGGCACTTTTCTTGAAAGGCAGCGATGATTGGTTTTCAGAACTATATCCTATGTTTAGATTTACTTGGTGACAAAAAGAAAGCTATCAGCTAGTGAAGGAGTACTGACACTTTTTGGCCTTTTCAACTCATGGACATACATTTCTCTTTGTTAAGAAGGATCAGGTGAAAATAAGCTGAGCAATATGGGTGTTTCTAGAGCTGTGTCTTCATCTTTACCGGTTTTTCCAACCACTCTCAAAGAGAAGTATCCAAAAATGCCAGATTCCTTTCAGGTTTCCTCAGAAAGAGAAGTAATGACTGCTCCCGCTTCCCATCAGCCAACTCCATTGCTGTGTAACAGTGGCAGAGTCGAGCACTTGTTTTCATCAGGTTCTAGATTCCCGAAAGACATTCATTTTTCTTCAGTTTCCTCTCAAGAAACGCATTCCCCCCAAAATTCTCCACTTATTTCTCAGTCATCAAGTGGTGGAACATCTTTGCTACCAACCCATTCTTCTCATTTAGGTGTACAATCCACACCATTGATTAATTACCCCAAAGAAAACAGTGAACTATCTTGGGGCACAGATTCACTTCCACATTTCCTTGAGTTTCCCGAAAATGTCCCTCTCCGGAATGGGCAGATGGAAAGCAGTACTGGTGCATTGACATCCGAAGAAAATGCCAAGACAATTGAGTGGCAGGAATGGGCAGACCATTTAATCACTGTTGATGATGTTTTAGACTCAAACTGGAGTGAGCTTTTTGTTGATGCCGTACCAGATCCAAAACCAAAGGTTTGTTCCTCAACTTAGAGTTAGAGATCTTCTATAGCAATATCTTGGTACGAGGCTCATCCTTTGAACACCCTGCACATTATGCACATGTCATGCCTGGATTCTTCCTTCACTTTTGGTGCCTGTGAAGTGCCCCTTAGACAATAATTATTCTACCTATTCAACTTATAAATATATCATCGTGTATCTTTTTTATTAATAGCTATAATAGATTAATTGAAGTGATATATCATCCTGTATCTTTTTCTATATCATTTTTTTTATTAGATTAATTGAAGTAAATCTATACTTTTGGGGGTTAAATTTTATATACTTTTCAGAACTATTATCAGGTTTCTCTTTCAAGTTTGCAGTTTTCCTGATAGATAAAATGTCATTATCCAGTGTTTGTCTCCATTAATCAAGGCTGCTAGGAGGGGCAGATTGGATACAGGCCTAACCTGTACAAATCAGGCCCAAAAAGGTCAGGTCTCTACCCAGTTGGCATTTGCCTAGACCCACATGCTTGTTGGAGTATAGCGCACACGCGCGCGCGCACACACACACACGCGCGCGCGCGCACACACACGCATACATCTATACATATATGATGTGCTATTAGTGCAAATGTATCTGCATCTATTTTTTCTTTTTGTTTTTTGTTTTTTGTTTTTTGTTTTTCAGTTTTTGGTACATCATCTGCGTCTTATCTCTTTCTTATGTGATACATGAAGACAAGTAAATGTTCTGGGTTCTAGTATGTGTCCATGTGTTAGTTTTATGTAACCTTATGATGTTAAGACACAGCCAATCTGTTAATTGTTTGTGTTCTTTGTTTCTTATTGTATACCTATTTATAATGCTGTTTTGATCTGAAACAGTGTGTTCAATGTAGATAATAATTTATTCGTTTTGATTCTAAATATAGTATTGGAAAATATTAAGAAAATATCATTTGAAATTCTAACAATTCAACTGTGCAACTCTCTCTCTCGCTGCACAAACCTCTCAGGTGTGTTTTATATCCAAGTTCAGTTATATCATGACTTAGGCATATCATACATTTTATAGCATCCATGTAACTTAGATACTCCTTGGATACTGGGAAAATTGCAGCACTCCTTTCTTGTACTTTTCTTTGTTTGTCCAAGTTTCATATTTTATTTAGAACTTTATATGGCATATCAGGTGCTGGAACCATCTGGTGATATCTCTGTGCACCAGTCTCAAATTTATCATCATCATCCCGTACCATCTGGGGAAATTTGTCCTGTTGCTAGCCCATTGTGCACTGTAGCCCCAACCAAGCCCCGCATGCGATGGACACCAGAACTTCATGAAGCCTTTGTGGAAGCTGTCAATCAACTCGGGGGTAGTGAACGTGCGTAGCCCTCTCAGTTTCATTATCTTTCTTTAGCTTGTTTTGGTTTGATTAGTCACATCGTGTTCCATTGTATCGATTCAAAATCTGAACTTATAGGAGCTACGCCAAAGGGTGTCTTGAATACCATGAATGTTGAAGGATTAACTATCTATCATGTGAAAAGCCACCTGCAGGTATGAAGGAACACTTCTTATTGATGCCATGTGCATTTACAAATTAGTTGTAATCTTTATCAATTTAATTTGATGTCATTTCACTTAAATTTCAGAAATATAGAACAGCCAGGGACAAACCAGAATCATCAGAAGGTAACAGTGATTGCATCATTTGCTTTTATTTTCTTGCTTAAGCCTGCAAAAAGAATTTTTAATACCACCTCAGCATCTTTATATGATTAAGCCCGTGATTTTTGTAAGTTGATGCCTATTTAACCCTCAACTCAACAAAAGGCTGTTCCAACATTCTGGGGTCGACTACATGAATCTTTTATTGTCATCCTGCTCTGTGGCTGTGATCTTAGTTTAATCACATGCTATCACATCTTTTTTGCGCTATCTCATCCCAATTTATGTTAGTTTTTGTCTTGCCTCCCCGTCACTTTATCCGCAATGTAAATCATATCATTTTTCCTTACTGGTCCAGTTATTAGGCCTCACTCACAAGTCAAACCCTCTTAATTGATTTTCTTTTATTAAATCTTAACATAATGATACTTCAAGCGTCTCATGAATGTATTCATTTTTAATTATCCTTTATTCTCTTACCACACATCTATCTCGAGTCTCGACATATGCATTATGGCCAACTCATTTATGAATAGGTTGTTTTTTAGGCTCGCATAATTTTGTTTCATAAGGTTTGTTCATCGAATAACTGTTTGATATAATTTATTTTTCAATTTTAGAGATATATGTCAATTACACAGTATGTTAGAAGTACTCCTCCATTTAGTTCATCTTGCTTTAGTTTAATCATTAATACCCTCACCAACTTCTCCCTCTTCATGAAAAATTGAACCTAAGTAACAAAAATGCCCGTCATTTAGTATCTCTTGACCCTTGATTCTCACTATATCTCCACTTGTATTTCTAGTTTTGCTAAAGTTATATTTGAAATATTCAATTCCTAGTCCTACTGATAATAAACCTTCTTGATTCTAGAGCTCTAATTTGAAAAATTAAAACAATCATTTTATATATTTACTTAAATCGTTCGGCAAAATAAAACATCTCTCTATATTTGCATGTTTTTCTTCAATCCTCATGCTCCTGCTTTTTTATTATTATGAGTTCTGTTAATTTTGTATCAAAAAACAGAAGCTGTATCATATAGGACAGTGAAAATATATATAATTTCTTGTACTGTATGCTAATATATTTCTTTTTAGTCGTTTAGTCTACATTAAAAAAGAAAATAAAATAAAAAATACACACACACACACAAACTCACACACATTAGAAAGTAAAGTGAGATTGTGTTGCGCTCTTCTCATTTCAGGAACTTCAGAGAAAAAGTTTACTCCTATTGAAGAAATGACAACTTTAGACTTGAATACGTAAGTTAGTTTGTCTATGTTCTTTACTTGAATATTTTTATATAGTTAATATTGTCATTTCATATTTCTTTCTCTCCCCTTCTTTTTGGAGGAAGTACTTCATGTCATACATGACTCAAGTATTTCTCTGTACCATTTATAGTTTTACTTAGTGGCCTTTAAAAGTTTAAAAGTGAAAACTGTTTTTTTGTTTTCCTTTTTAACAGTAGAACTGTCAAATGCTATATGCCTTCTATGCAGTACAGGGTGAAATGATCAGGCAATTACCTAGATGAATCAGTGATGTTAAAGTTTATAAAAAGAAAGGAATCCTATTATACTCTGATACTCTTGGTTCTGTAAGTAATCTTACAATATCTTGCAGACCAACAACTGCTTCTGTCCCATTCCCTTTATAGGCTCCTACAGAGTATAATACTGATTATTTTTTAATCCGACTTAATTGTATAATCAACTTATCGCCTACTTGGCAAGAACATTAGTGGACACTGTGATCTAGGTTTCTGCACAACTTTATTTGAAGTTACATGGAAAAGGGAAAAACAAATGAGTGAAGGAAATAGTAGGGCATTTTCACCAAAAACGGAAAAAAGTTACTTGGTTTAGTGGTTTTCCTTTGTTTGATGTTATGTCATAAACATTTCTTATGTATACGAGCAAATGTTTATACTGGTATTTAGGGATAACTGTTTAGTTAAATGGCATGCCACGACCCGCCCCCAACATGTGTAGATTCTATTGGAATCAACATCATTGAACTAGATCTCCAGATAATGCAACAATGTTACTTCATGTAGTAACATAACTGGCTATTTGAATTTTATGGTTCATCACACTATAGTATGTATGAACACATTTAGTTTAGAATTTGTTGTGAATGTTGATTGTATATGTACTTTTGACAGTTTCATGCATGTAGATGCATGTTAGTTTATGTTATATTGAATATCACATGATTGGAACGCCTTTAATTCAATGTTATATGGACCTATAGGAGTTGGTCTTACTTTTTATTTCCAAGTGCATTGAAAATTTGTAATATTTTTGGAGAATTGTTTGTTCAATCCAACAAAACTAGTCATATTTTATACGTCTTTCAAAATAGAAAGATCAGTTCTCTTGCATATTTTTTCAAAAATCACTTTCCAAGCTGATTGAAATTATAAACAATGAAATTTGTACTTCGCTGACACCATGGAAATTCTAAAATAGTTGTGTTAATACCATGAAGTATTAGGTATGAATAAGTTGGTTGTTACTGGATCTCCTGTCATTCTAATTCAACTCAACAAAGCCTTTTCCCAACTACTGGGATTGGCTAGATGAATCCTATATATATATAATTAAAGGCAACATCTAATTCTACCCCATGAATGTTGCATTAGCATAACTCCAACATTTAATTCTACCCCATGAACGTTGCATTAACATAACTCCAACTAAATTTAGAATATCAATTTATAATTCCTAACGGCCACCCCTTCCCCGCTGCTGTTATGACTTGTTTTCCTCCACAAACTCATGCATGTTGTCGAGTTCTTGCTGAATGCTGTCTACACTAAACTATTTATTGTTTCATGTTTGTTTCCTGTTGAAGTCCTGAATTTTTTAGTGTCTACTCTCTAATAATTCCCTGATGAAAGGTTTGGCTATGCTCATCTCAGTATCTATTCTCATAATCACTTTAGGTCTCTTACTGCATTAAGTTATAGTCACATTTTTTTGTCCCTAAGAAGAAGATATTTTTCTCTTTTATTTGTCGTTGATTTTTCTAGCTTGATGGTTCTAGGCAAGCTTTCTAGCTTTAGCTCCTTGTGCAATTTTAGCTGCAGTTTCAATTGCTCTATTATGTCTCATTTAATTAAACTTGAACTAAACTCTGTGGCTCTCATTTTGGTGGCAGGAGTATGGGGATTGCTGAAGCATTACAACTGCAGATGGAAGTTCAGAAGCGGCTTCATGACCAACTCGAGGTAAAGCATTTGATACCAAGTTTACCATCTTTCATTATTAGGTGTTTGCCGCTCAATTTGATGAATGGTCAGTTAAATTGATACTAATGATCCACTACAATTATTTTGTAGTTAGGGCTTGGCTGGTGTTGAATTCAAGTGTTTTTTGTGCTTTTGTAATTGTTTATGAGTTACTTATTTCATGTTCTGAGTTCATTTTGGTTTATGCGCCTTTGGTACTTGATAGGGGTTCCTCTTTTGTTTTCCTTCTCTGCCATTCTCTGTTTTCATAGCCGATCAAAGAAAGAAACCAAAAGAATGCTATAACAATCAATCTTCATCTTTACTTCTTGCAAAGCAATGTGAAACACAGTTGGCATTTAATGGTCAGTCATTAAATGTCGCGGGCAATAATAGGTGTTGATATTTGAATAATTCATTTTTTTTTTCCCCTGACAAATTGGCAAATAACAAAGTCATTATAGATGGAGGCATACGAAAAGTTAAGTCAAAGTAAGGTTTCATATGCATTTTTCATGTATTATGTTAATTTTTTGAGAGTTTAGTTGTGCCTCTCCCACCACACAATGGTTTTGTTGTTCCACCTACTTGATAAGTTTCACTTGATTCATCCAATCCATTGTTTTTTTTTTTTTTAATAAGTGATTCATCCAATCCATATTGTTCTTGTCTTGGTCTGAGATGCTACTTAGTACATTTCCAGTATATATTACTCAGATATCATTTTATTATTACTTTCATTTTGCTTTATGTTGTTATATATGCCTGTAGAATGTAATCCTGTAAAGACCCTACATTTGTGCCAAGTAAAATTCTGGGTACTGTTTCACATAATCATAGGATTGTCCAATTTATTGTCCGGATGTTTTGAAACATTTGATTGTCTGCTTTGGTTATATAAAAGGAGCTTTAAATATTGTTTTCCAAATACTACAGTAGTCTTCATTCCTATGGATTAATTGAAATGTCAACAGTACAGGCTGATCAAACTGTGTTCGTTTTTGTTTAATCTGACCTTGAAGTTCTCTTTCCTCCAGATTCAGAGAAATTTGCAGTTGCAAATTGAAGAGCAAGGGAGGTGTCTTCAGATGATGTTTGAGAGACAGAGGAAGATGGAAAATGGAAGGTTCGAGACCTCTTCATCCAATCCAGATGAACCCTCTCCTCCAATATTAAGCACAATGCAGTCCTCCCCTGCTGATGACAAATTAGAAGCCCCAGCGCAGGATTTTGGCGGGAAGGAAATTGACGCAAGTAATGCCAGCTTGGCATTGGAAGAAATTTCTCAAAACCTGAGTGAAAAACAAATGGCACCTGAAAGCAAAGCCAGCAAGGACCTTGAGATGGCTGCTGGAGGATCTAGTTCCTCACCTAGAAAGCGTGCAAAAGCCGATAAAACAACAGCATCAGCGGCCAAATTGGCATCTTGATTAGAACTTGATAAGTGTTATCCTGCTCCTGGATATGACATGTTAAGCATGGACAACGACTAAGTTGCCCGTGGAGTGCAGACTTCACTAAAATGAATATTTGTAGAACTTTAAGGTAAAATTATTACAATTAACGCGTTTTTCTCTTTAATTTGAGGAAGAAAGGGTCTCTCCAGCTTGATTGTTGTGCCCATTATATTCTTGATTTCTATTGGATTAGCGTGGAACATGAATTGCGTATAGGACAAGCAGTAGAAGTATAAGCTGTATGTTCTTGTAGATGCATGCCCGCATTATTTTTTTGCGGCATCCTGCTTTGTCTACTACCCATTGTTAGAACTGAAAAGGTCATATGCTTATGCTCAACCGTTGCGAGGATAGGGGGAGGGATGAGAAACAAGAACGTGTGAAGGTTAATGTTTTGTGGTTTTTGTTTCGTCTGTCATTTGATTTTTTAGAGCATGAAGAGGGTATTTGATGAGAGTAGCCTTATTTCTACTTGTAGCATGTGCTCCTTCTCCATTATTCATATTTTTTATTTCTACTTGTTGCATGTGCTCCATCTCCATTATTCATATTTATGCAAATTCTTATACATTGCCCAGGCGTTTGAACGAGTCAGATTTGGGGTGGCCTAGTTGGTAGAGCGCCTAGATCCCCGATTGGGTGTGTTGGTAGAGCGCCTAGATCCCCGATTGGGTGTGCCCGTGTTCGTGTTTTGAGAAGCTGAATTAGAAAGTGCTTTTTGCAAGTGAATTGGAAAACAACCTTTTCATGAAAAACCTATGATTTTCTAGAAAACATGGGATTTAGGTCAAGGTTGTTTCAGAAAGCAAAGTGATTTTGAAAACACTATATCCTGAAAACCATTTGTTTCCATGATCTTGTTCCATCCTTTCTCTAACCATCAGGCAACTTGTATTGCATTATTAACTGATACAAGTATGATGTTGGCATTTTTCTTCCTAATGTTTATTACATAGCTATAACATGCTTGGTAATGAGCTTGGACATGACAAACTAAAATTTTGAACAAGTAAATTATCAAGAAAATAATTAGTTTAGAAGTTTAATTATACATTTTCCATCTCTTGTCGATATAAAAAATTAAAAATTGCAGTATTCTAATATAGATTATGAAACAAAGCATTTTTGTACTCTGAAGTGCAGAAGTGCTAGGAGTTTAGAGTGATATCATATTGCCTCCCAATTTAATAAAACAAATAGAAGACAATACTTCAGAGTAGGGGCATTGGCAGATAATCCACAATCACCATTAAACACTTTCATAAAGCAAATGGAAGCCTCATGTCTCTATATATAGTTCCAATATTTGCAAATGAGGACAAGGAAAATGTAGTACTGTGATTTCTATACTTGAATAACTCATAGCTTCTATTGAATGACCCAATGCCTGACAGCACCGATGAACATACAAGCAAGCAAAAAATATGCAACCTGCAATTGACCATAAAAGATCCTTCTATCCAACAAAATGCAATATTGACACAGAACTCCATAATTCCGGGCAGAAAAGGCTGTCGGATCCTTGTCTCAATGTCAATGTTGTAAACCGAGATCCTAATGCTTTCAAAAGAAATCCAGAGACGAGGGTAACTCGTTCACCAAAAAGCTCACATAAAATCATAGTCATCATAACCATCATAGCCAGCAGCAACTGCATCATCGTCAGGCTTATCAACAATTAGCTGTTTCTTCTTTGCACCTGCAGAAGTAACCCGATACTTAAGGTCACATGCGGCAGATTCAAACAACAAAATCATCAAATGAACAACATTGAATTTGAACACCCATAACTAAAATCCCAAATGGATAACTATGCAAATGGCCATGCATCACAACTGAAGATTGTGTGGCTGGCACTTGGCACAAGCAAATGTTGTAATACAGGCATTAGATTGTCATGTGCAATAAAATATTCCATCCTCATCCCGGATCCCATTTTTTCAACACACGAACATTGTACAGAAGACGTTCAAGCATGTTCTATTATTTCTAACATTTCTCTTTGTTTTACTCTATACTCATGCATTTCAAATGTTTCTTTTCTCATTTTGTTTTTTTCTTTTCAAATCTCACTCGCCTAGAAAGACCATTGGTCTATTACCAAGTTTTTGAACAAATAGCAAAATCGGATTTCCAAGATTGGTACCTGTCTTCTTTTTGCCAGCATTGGCTTCCTTCTCTGCTTTTAGCTTTTCATTTGCAATAGCAGTGACAGAAGAGGCAACCTCCTTTGCATCTGCCGCTTTTAGAGTAGTCATTGACAGCCGCATCACATCCTTGAGTAATCCAATATAATGAAAACTTTTCTGCATTGATAAATAAATTCATGGTCAAATTAGGCACCACCTCTTCTTTAAACAAAATACAAAATGCTAACAGAAAAAAATCCACAAACCTCATAAGGACGAAGCTTATGAGAAATGAGCTCCGCGTATTCTAGAAAGTCGCTTTCGGACTTAGGGATGAAATTGTCAAGGGACTTCTCATCACCCGTCTTAGCAAATAGTTCAGCAGTGGCCCTATAATCTGCTTCTTCCACAAGCCTGTGATAGAGACAGCAACAGCAGTCTGACATCCATCGTCACTACCATAAAAAACCTAAGGCGGCCCAACTACTAAACGTTTACAAACAACATCAAACTACCCAATGAGTTCAATGGTATCATCTCAGTTTGTCGTGATTAAACCACACTATCAAGAAATATGTTTTCCTAAATTGTGATTGAAGAAAACGTTGCAGCAACAATACAGGTGACACAAAAGCAAATGTATCAATTTAATGAATAAAGTAAAAGAAACATCTTACAGATCTAATTTTCATTAGAAAAACTGTGGGCAACTTTTGTGCATAAGGTCCAAAATTCATAATGGAATATTCAAAAGGCATGCATATGGTTAAACATATATCAAGAAGCAGACTTTTGGAATGAAACATGAACCAAGAAAAAAGCATGTAGAGATGCAATGTCCTAATTTTCACAAAATTGATTAGAAACTTCATGCACAAGTTAATAATGAGAGTATAGATGACGAGTTCAGGTTCCAAATTGAAAAGGTGGGGATACCAGGGATATTTTCAACCTAAATATCAAGAAGGCATATGTGATGGAGATCTTGATGAGCCATGTAGTCTACATAATTATAGGCGTAGACATAGAGAACGATTTTAGGAAATATTTGATATTCTATATTTTATTTATTTTTCTTATTTTGTTAGGGTTTTATTTTTGACAGTGGAGTTTGATAGTGGTTCAGTTGATGCTTATTTACTACATTTACCCACCCTTCATCCATTGGCTGATTAAGAACCTGATCTATTATATAAAGCCACCCAAAATCCTAATCCAATCCAAACTGGCCAAAACAAATTTTCACAATAACTATATAATACTTACGAAATCAAAGAATATTGAACTAATACTACATGTACAAAACAGTGGCGAGGCAGCCCCTCTTCTATTCTCTCTCCTTTTTTCTTTTCCCAGAAATAAATTGCATCAAGAAGGAATAAAAGGAAGTACAGCCCAAGTTAAAAAGTTCATCAAACATAAATAAAAAACTTAGCCAACTATCAAAAGAAGTAATAAAATACAAAAAAGAATCAAGATGGGAACTTTGCCCTTTCCATCTCAGGGGATGACGATACCACATCTTCAAAGCATTTGCTGGTTCCATCTTTCCAAATCCTCCACACAAGACATAGCGGATACATTATCCACAACACACCTCCTCTACCCAATCGAAGTACCACTCCTAGACTCCAACATGTTTGCAAATGAGCATGAGAAAACCAAAATTACCTCAAAGATATAGCATAGGAAAAAGAAAGCTCCCCCACCACTCTGCAGTAAATAAAAAGATTAACCATTTCTTTAGCTCCATCAAACACATCACTAATTAGGAAGCATCTATCTCTACTTATCTCTACTGACCAAATAGTGAAAGGAAAATTTTGCAAGTGCCACAGCCCAAACAAAAAAAGCCACCTTAGGAGAGCCCTTGGCCCTCCACACATTCTTCAAGTAGAGGATAGATCGAATGATTTGATCTCAAAATGGACCACTTCTGAAAGCCACCCCTTTCACCTAATTATCCCCTTCTCTACAAACACCCTCCCTAAACAAAAGATTGAGTTCATCAACCACTCCAGCTGCCAATCATGCACTCCAACAAATTAAATATCCCTCACAGATGCCACTAACCATTCACCACAAATAATATGCAACATCGTCATCTTTCTTGAACACAGTCCAGAATGGCTCTGGGAATCTCACCTTCAAGAGACATCCTCACGCTGAAGTTCATGCCAAAAGTACATCCACCATCCCTTCCAATTGAGAATCCAAATATATTTCAAAAATTCCTCCTATCCATCAGATAGCCCTCCACATACCCACCCCATGAGGCATTCTCACCTCTTAATGTAATCGAGTCATCCCAAGATGACATATTTTGATCTGACCACTATCCTCCAAAAGCATCCATATCAACAGTAGAACACCCAACTACTACTACCATGACAAAGCCTGGTTAAAAAAACCAAGTCTCCTAACTCCCAGACAACTGACAAACTAGATGAATAAGTCTCTTTCCAATCAACCAAAAGGGTATTTTATGCTCCTTTCCTAATAAATCACAAAGAAAGCCCATCAATAACTTCTGCAATCTCTCAGCAACAAAGGGGATAGTGAAGGTTGTTGACATGAAATGGGAAGGCTAAGTAAGATACTATTGAGTAGAGTTAATCTGTCTCCCTTAGCTAAGAACTTTATTCAACCAACATACTCTCAAGGACCACCATTGCTTTCCATTTCTTCACTTCAAAAGAAGAGCCTAAGGCCGACAAAAGGTGTGAAGCTGGATCACCCTGTATCTTTACATTACAGCTAATTAATCAGTTTTAACCCCTCACCCACAAATATCAATTGTCTTTCTAAGATTAATCTTGAAAGCCAATACTATCTCTAAACAACAAAGGAGAACACATTTCGGATGGCGCAATGCAATTAGTCTGCTCCAACCAAAATAAATAAAAAATAAATAAAATTGGTATTGCCAATATATGACACTTCCAAATCCAACCACTAACTTGTCGAAAGTTTTGCTTAACTGCCATCGCAATAACACATATAGAGGGAGATACAGGGTTCCCATTTTGCAGACCTCACAAACCCTCAAAGGACCCTGACAGAAAGCCATTCATTGAAATGGATAATTTCACCTTAGAAATGGAAATGCACCAATTGAGCCACCTTATCCAATTATATCCGAAACGCATCTGCTTTCTATTCTATAAATGAATTTTTATGAGTTTGATGTGTTGCTAGATCCATACCAATAAAGCATGGGAACATATCAGGCTTCATTACAAGATGATACAAAGACATGAGACTTGTTTCACTAATCATTAAGGTGTTCATTACAATCTAAAAATACATTATGCAGACTAAGTTTTGTGGCATTTTGCAAGTCTATATAACGTGATATTGTTTTAGTCCAGTCTTTATCTACTCTTGCCGAACACGTCTCCTTTTTTATAACATTAACATTTTTATGGGGGGGTGAAGGCTGAGAGGATAACAACTATATTTATTGCACAAAATTAACACAGCCAACTAAAAGAATCATAGAGTTAGAACAGCGTATATTAAATGTAACTAAATTATACATAGGCAAGATCACCACAGAATTTAAGCATTGAAACTAAGGCAAATATGTGCATCTATCATGTATGCCAATGGAAGCAAGAACAAACATTCTTGCTTACATTTTTTTTCTTTTTTTATTCCTGGACTTCAGAAAAAAGATTTAGGACAACATAGAACATAAAAATAGTCCCTATTATGACTCCAAATAGCAGAGAGGAGAGACGCTTTCCTTCTGTTCCATTTTGTCAATCCAACATATGATAGTATGATGTATGGTTTCTACACTAGACAGCACATTTCTCTTGTGATAATAGATCTGTTCAAACTCATAAGTATGAACTAGCCAAAAACTAAACAAAATGAAAATACTGAACTTTCACCTTTGTTGACGAAGTTTTTCCGCTACAGGATCTAGGGCCACCTCCTTTGCTATTTCAACTGCTTTCCCCTTCTTTTCACTAACTTTTGCATCAGACTTCTTGGGGGCCTTTTGAGCAGGAGGTTCAGCTGCAGGTGCCTGATCACATCACATGAAAAGCAACAAATAATGCATCAACAGCAGCAAAGAGAACCACAGCATCAACGCAGCATGTTACATGCTTCTCAGCTGTGAATTACAAGGATGCTTCAACACCATGGTTGCACAATAGCATACTCATTATATAGAATGTCTAACAAGTTGATATGTTAAGTCGAACAATCCTTGCAACATTTTAAATTACTTCACTTCTTGTATGTAAAACTTTCATAAACACACCAAAAGGGGTGAGATTCCTGATATATTTCCTCACCAAAACATTGCTGAACATGGCTTATTCAACAAAAAGATGTGAAATCAATAGACTAGTACCACATGCACATCATATGTCTGAATGCCAATGACACCATATCTTCTTGCACCTTCCAAAAATATTTTTTTAGCTGTTGATACAAATGGAAATAATATAATATGACAAAAATCACCTAATGGAGCACAAAGATTAGGACGGGACAACAGGTCGAGTTCAATGTTTTATGAAGGTGAAAGGAAAATATAATGACATCCGGATAAAAAGCCAGCTGAAATTTTCCAGGCAACAACTACTTATGAAAGAATATATTTTAACAAAAATTTCAAATAAGCAGGGCTAATTAAAGGATAAATAATGAGTAGAATAGTAAATAGAACCAGAAGCAAGCAAGGAAAAGGAAGCAGCATAATCTACAAGATAAAATAGACTACACAATCTCAAGTTTTTGTTAATTAAATTCCTCAAGTTCAATCAACATTAGGTTAGACTCACACGGTTAGCCTCCAGCTTCTTTTAACTTACACAAGGGTATATTATTGTATTGGAGTGTTAAATGCACACTTCAAGGAATAAATTTCAACATCATATAAAGTAGCATACATGAACTTATTGAGCACGCTGACTCATTTGGAATGGCTGAAAAAAAACTTCAGTTGTTTAAACTCAAGACTACAGTTTTCACATATCGCTTTGATCATCTATCCATCTAACTCAATAAAACAAAATGCATTATCAACATTACCGGTGCAGAATCATCGTCATCTTCCCAAGATTCCTTCACGTCATTTTCATCCACATCCTCATCTTCCCATTGACTCTTTAGCTGCTCCTTTTTGAGAAGAACTGGAGCTGGCTCATCCTCTAAAATAAATGCATATCAAATTTCATAATCATGAACAAGCATATTCACCCAAAAAAATGTGAAAAATATATATATATTTTTTTAAAGGATAGAAGAATTCCGGAGAACGAAGAGTAAATACTGCATTTATCTACTGAGTTTCCATAAAAACACCATATATGTAGCCTTAAGTTTGAGCCTCACCTTCATTGCAAATGTTCACATACTGAACACCCTAGATTATAAATTTATTTGTAATATAATGTAACTAATGCCTAATTCAGGGGAGGATGTCCTTCCAACTCACTGACAAACTTACAAATGGTTCTATCAATCAAGGGATATGAGCCATATTTTAGAAAGTGTAGAACCCAATACTTGCAAACACCAAGGGAGGTTCATTCTGACTAAAAACATTTAAAACAGAACAGCTGCAAAACAAAAAGGCATCAATCCAATATAATCACTACCATCAATTCATTTTTCCCAATTTTGTTCCAAATATATCACTATCAGGTTCTCTTCATCCATCCAGGAATCTACATAGGAGACTATAACAGCAACAACTCTCCACTACATTCTAATGTAACATGTATATGAACTACAATGCTTTTTACTTATAGATTTTAACAAGTGTTTCCACCTATGGTCAGTTCCATACAAGTTAATTTATGTATCGGGATCGCAGAAGCAGCTTATATTCTTCTTCTGAAAAAATGAAACCAACCTGCTATTGACTTGAGAATTTATAAAAACTATTCAGAACCCGAGGATTCCCATTTCCTACCAGAAATTTTTTTTCTCAACATCATCCTACCTATACCATACCCAAACAAAGGGAAAAGATAAAACACATACTAAAAATTTATAATAGTACAAATTTTATCGAATTAGGAACTACTCTTAACTCAGAGAATATTGCATGTGTTAATTAAAGTAAGCTAATAACAGGGGCCAAAACAATCTATAAAGTTAAATAATAAATTAAAGTCTAAAACAAGTCTTATTACATATTCACACACACACACACAAAAAAAAAAAAAATGCCTTGCTGCAGTTGTTAGGGCTCTGCTACAAGAGTCCTGCTTTAATAGTCCACTACTAATTCCATATCTTCGACAAAATAATCAGGTTCTTTCCATACATCAGGCCTTCAACAGAACACGTGTTTTTGACATAATGCTCTATGATTAACAGATTATTACATTGTTCAAATTATTTTATTTTATTATTTATTTATTTATTTATTTGATAATAAGACAGACATTCCCATGCCCAAATAGGATATTAAGCGTTACCAATTCAATGTATCTTATAAAAGTGTTAACCATGAGTAATAAAATAACGAAATGATAAAAATAAACTATGTTATGGTCAACATAGTTTTTCTAACAAAATATTCATACCTGTTACGACAAACGCACTGAACCAAGCAACAATTACGATAACACAACAGAATAATAAACACACCACACAAAGAACACAAAGATTTATACGTGATTTGGCAAAGCCCACGTCCACCGTGGAGATCCAGTGAAAGTCTTCAGTATGTGTAAAATCGGAGATTACAAGTTTCAGTCCCTCACTCTCAATTCTGCACGAATTTCAGTGTCTCTCTCACAACCCACTCCAAAACCTAAACACCCTTATATATCGGGCTTAGGGCTACAAGATTGTACTAATTAGGGTCCACAATCCATGAGCAAAATGCGTCAAAAACATTCCATCCAACGGGTTGTCGGGTCGCATTGCGCCCCAGCACCAAATTCGGGCCACAACATCACAATATCATAATTACAAAAAACTACATGATGAAAATAAATTGGCATGACAACAACATAGTAACTTCAAAATTAATATAATTGAAGGCATGTTAACAACTAGCGGTTCCAACAAAAGTTATTGTGAATAAAACATTTTTCAATACAATTATATCTATGACACAAATAGCAGCTTAGTGCTGCTGAATTCAGTTTTGGCTAAAAGTAGACTGTCTACTCAATCAACCAATAAGAACAATGACAACGCCTCCGAAAGCAGCACCAGCCTTACAGACCATGCATAAGTGCCAACATAAAGCATTTCTTTTCAATATTTACATTTCAAACTATAAAACAAGATGGATTTTGTTTAAATAAATGGACATCAACACTATTTTCCAACCCTAGGTTTTTGCTATATGTCACGTGGTTATGTCAAGCATCGGAATTCTCATCTCATATTTTATAACATCTAGCAACAAGATAAAAACATCCAAATTGATTAAAATTTACTTATCAAAAAAAAAAAAAAAAGAAAAAAAAGAAGAAGATAAAAGCATCCAAATTCCTAATTCTGCGCACTGCCCTGAAGTTAAAAGTACATATAAAATATGAACCATTTCAACCACAATTGAATGGCATTGTCTCATAAATCAAAACATGAAGTTTCCTTATCCAATAATTCCTTATTGATTTAGATAGTGATAAGTGGCAATTATACCATGAAATTAACTAGGCATAATTATACTACATTGCAATAGCAGCCATTCTCCAAAACAAAAACCATGAAGCATTACCCCAGTCCTCCATCTAATTGCTCGCCTGTGTAATTTAAACAAACTTCGAAATCCAGGTATCAATGCTGTCTTCCAGAGAATTCGTAAACCTACATCTGCAGAGATGTAAACATGTAATAATTTGACATCAATCTCAGTTAAAAATATATATATATAGCATTAATAGAAAGATTCCAAGGAAAAAGAGAAGTTAGGAACAAAACAATATTCAGTTTGATAAATAAAAAAACCATCATGATTTTGATTTATACAAATGCTCTTTCATCAGTTTGACAAATACAGATGCTCTGTCATCAGTTCCATAAGTGCAAATATGAACTATATATATTTTCCCCATTGAATTACAACCCTGGAGGCATGACTTTCTTTTTCCAATTGGATTCCATTTCAATATATAAATATAAAGGCGGGAAAATAGTCAAATCGAGGAATAAAGTAGCTAAAAGAAAAAAGAAAACAAGACAAAATGAAAAGCAAAAATTCCCTTCCAAATAAAATTGTGTTCAAGGGCAATGCTCTAGCTCCTCTAAGGTGATGGATACCTTTTAGATGGAATGTTTGCTTCCATATTTCAGATCTTTTGATTCCATGAGGACGCAATATCAGTCCTATGGCACAAAAAGCTTCATTCAAGTGTCTCACAAGTTTCTATGGCCTCGAGAATTGTGACTAAACCATTTGATGACATCTGAAATGTCACCCTGGACTGCAACTTTGTCACTTACTATTCGTTCAATTCTTTCAAGCTAGATAATTGGGCCTCAAGCTGTAATTATGCTACTTATATTCAACTGGCTGGAGGATCAAGTATAATACTGCCTACATGGTTCTTCTATTACCTTCTTTTGCAGAACAGGGTCGAGGATTACCTACATTGGGACAACTAACTGTAAAGGCCTCATTTATAGAGGTATTTCAAAACACCATGCCTCCACTCCTACAGGCAAGGGAATGCAAAGATCAATTGGTTTAAACATGTAGACCAGAAAAAGGAAAAACTAATGCTTCATTAGGATAGATGAATAAATTTAAAATCAAGAGAATTGAGTTCAAATAATTGAAGCTAGATTGTAATGCCCAATTAAAAAAAATGTGTGAAATCTAGAACCATTGACCTAGACTCAAATAAAGAGTAGTGCAAAGCCGTGATCTAGACCCATAAGGATGAATAGGTTACAATGGCTTTAATTAATTAAAAACAATTAATTTTGATTTTTAACTATAATAATGACAATTCAAAAATTAACCAAGTAACAAGCTTGTAATCAATCCATTCATCATGTTTGAAAGTATATAAAAACATGTGAAGTACGATAGGCAACCACACAATGAAAACATGGATTTTTACATGAAACCCCAAGGGAAAAAAAAAAAAATCATGGAATTTAGACCAGATAGATAAAATCTACCATGAGAATGAGATATTACAAACTTACAATTAGGTCGACCAGTTTCCCAAATCCTAGAAAACCTCTATTTACCTCTTGACAGACTTATGTCAAACTCTCCACCCAAATCTCCAAGCTGCTACTCTGTCAAAAAATATCCGCTCTTCGTGTAATCTTGCTTCTCCACAAGCAAATTGATGTCCATGGTTAATTGTTCAAGGTTTGTGTTGTTACTTCGGTGTTTAAATCACCATTATCACAACAAAATTGGTGACCAACACCTCAGTAGCGTACTCACCATACTAGATACAATGGTGAATAAGAAAGAAAGAAAAATCTAGAAAGGAATTGCTAGAAGGAAATAAAAAATGCAATGTATATGCTCAGAGATTAATTGTTTATGTTGCGTATGTTTTCTAAACTTGTATGATCCTTGTATAGAACTCAAAATCCTATAGAAGCTGGTTAAAAAGAGACTCAATTTTATTTGAAAATTAAATTTTGTATAGTTCCATCGATAGAGCTAAGTGTCTATTGATCGACACATGACCTGTAGCCTTCAATGGATCTTTTGATCGATTGATAGTGCGATGTCCTTCTTTCATTAGGATTTTAATTTAGAAAAATTCCAAATATATGTAATGCACTTCAAAAAGGATTTATAAATCAAAACCTTAAAATATGAAACTGTGATTAAATGAATGCATAAACCCTAGTGGCAAGTGCATATCTAAGTATTGAGTTTATCTTTTGTCCTTAATTATAGTCTTAATTTCCTAATATACCTTTGGACAAGAAGTAGTTAACTAACTATAACAACTTTTAAAAGAAACTACCTAGAAATGTAACAAAATTACAGGTTCAAGCTTTTGTAACGAAATTTGCCAATATAAGTCCTGTTAACCTAACCAGTATGAGATATATATATTTTATTACAATTCTGGTGACAATGTAATATTTGACAACATAAATTTCAAATAACTCCTTGTACCTTGTCATCTAAATTCTAAACATATAATCCTCTCAAATAAACCAATTCGCTCTATTAAAACATAAATTTAAATTACTAAATCTAAACTCTTCCTTGAGTAATTAAACTCATATCCATTCATTCAAAATCCTTTAATCCAAATGGAGGAGCATGAGGCAAAAAACCCCAGTACACGAGATGTACATACAAGTTATTTATACAAAGTCATATAATAATTTTCATTAAATGAGAGAAGGATGGTCTAAAATCTCAAACCCATCTCTATTTCTACCTTTATATATATATATATATATATATATGGCGAATATCCTAATAGTCCCTACAGAATTTGGCAACAGAGTAAAATCCTGGCTAGTAGCAGGGGTCAAAACTGCCTTTGCAATCCGCAGTTGAATCAGACAACTATTTGGTCACACAGCCAATACCTAGTAAATTAAGAACCAAATAGAAAACTGTATAACATCAATCGAATAAATTCTCAGCATTTTGATGTAAATAAAGTTAACACTTACACACTATGATCAGCCGTTTTTCTGTGTTTCTGGGCAGGTGCTGATAAAATCACGTGAAAACAAGATGGGCAACAGAAATGGAACAATCTATGTGGTTGTAGAAACCTGTTAGAACTGTAGACTCGCAGAATCACACTCTGCGGATGCAGATATAGGGTTTTTTTCTTGAAGTGAAGAAGAAGAAGCAGAAGCCAAATACCATACGGAAGGGGAGAGAGAGAGAGAGAGTTGGGGGTTTTAGCGGTAGGCGTTTTGTTGGCCCATATCGTGCACTTTTACGGCGTGATGGTTTCGAAGTTGAAAGGAAATGAAAGGAGTAAACTAGAAAGGAAAAGACGAGGAGGAGGGGAGAAATCTAAAGGCACGTTTGGTTCAATATAAAAATTATCAAAAATTGATTTTTTTTTCCTGTTTTTTTTTTAAAAAACAGTCACCGAAATAAATTTTTTTTTTTTTATCTAATACTTGGACCTCCCTTTCAGAGGACAGATCCAAATTTTTCGTCATCTCCTTTGAGAAAGAAGGTGGAAAATTAACCTCGCGATTTGTTTTGATTTTTTGAATTTTTTTTTTTTTTTTTTTTTTACAATTACAGGTTACAAATGTCAGGGTTGTTATTTATTATTATTTTTTTTTCTCATAAGTTATTCAAATGAGGATGAGAAATTAACCATATTTTCTTTTATTTGCTCTTCTAATTAATATTAATTTAAAGTGATATCGTTACTATTCTTCTTTATTTCCATAAAATACGTTCATTTTTCTTTTCTCAGAGTATCTCCAACAGTCTATTAAAATATTATTTTGTGTAAAATATACATTGTTATTAATGCTGTGTAAATTTTTTTTTTTTTTTATCTCCAGCGATTTGTTAAGATACACTGTTATGTCACTAATATGTATATCGTCCTCACTGCTAATGTGGATCAATAAAAAATAGATATGCATCTTTAATTACCAAATAAATATATGTCCATTTTTTATTGATTCACACCAGACGGTGACCAAAAGAGATTTAATAGTGGGCCCAAAAAATTTCTATCTTTATCTCACTTTTTTTTTTTTTCTTTTTTTTTTTTCCCCTTTCTCCTCGTTCACATTTTTTTTTCTCCGGTATTTGTAAAACTTCCCATATTCTTCTTTTTATTTTTTTTCTTTCTTATTTTTCATTAAATTTAAGTATAAATTGTATAACTCTAAGATCAATTATATGACAAAAAAGATTAATTGAATTGACTTTTTATTAGATATTAAAAGGTCACTTTTATATTTTTCGCCTAAGGCCTCAAATTATATTGAATCGCTGATTTGATATATATAGATATTTATTTATATTATCATTGAGGCTTTCATGGTGATCAAAATTGTTTAATTCCTATTTCTAATTTAATTTGGCTTTCTTTTTAGTTTATTATTAGCACAACTGATCCACCAGGAATGGACAAATAGAGTAGTTTGAGCAGTGAAGAAAACATGAGAATATTTGAGTGGGTGGAAGTGTTGATAAATATATTTTTATTGTCATTTGGTGACAAAATTTCTATAGACCTCTATGAAAATATTTTTTGACATTTCAAAGTTGACATAAGTATTAAAAAATTTATTGTTTGATAGTTGATTTCCCTATGTTGAACAGTCAAATAATTCATTTGACTGTTTATTTTCACTTTTAAATTGAGAAAGATGTTTGTTTAGACCACCCATGATAGACCCATCAAAATTAAATTAGGCACGTTAACAATGCATTTTGGTTAAAACCTAAAAAAGGAAAGAAAATGGTAGGGGGGAAAGAGTTGGAAAGAAAAAGAGAGGAAGTACACAAAATAAAATAATTGTTTTATTTTGTGAGTAATTATAAAAAATGATTTATTATTATTATAATAAACTATTAAAAAAAAAAAAAGCAGGGTAATCAACAATTATATATATATATATATATGAGTCATACTATTTACCTGACAAATAAAAACCTACTATGAGTTATTTATGTGTCAAATATAATGGGACCCATTTCAAAATATAAGGTAACTAATTATTTGGAAAGTTTAATTCATTTTTTAGGTTTTATCTTAATATAGTATCTTTGTTTGGAATTAAATTTTTAATCACCATATATATATCAAATTGTATATGTGTTGTATCTCTCTAAGAGTTGTTGAGATACTTAAGATTGCATCTCCTATGTATAATTAGATTGTGTATCTCTCGTTATATATAAAAGAATGTGTCTTTGATAATTAATATCAATCTCTTACTATTGATATTACTTTGATAGGTATTTGTTGATTGCAATAATGATCAAAATTAATGATATATGTGACTCCCAGAAACAAAAACAAAAAGAAAAATTGCAAAACATTGAAAAATTGTAAAACATTGCAATTTTTGTTCTAAATTTTGTACAAATCAAATTCTTATATTTGAGTACCATTAAAGTTGTTGTGAAAACGAAAAAGAAGATGACACGGTTATGAAAAAAAAATTAAAAGATAAGCGCATTTCCAGTCGTCTGTTAAAATACTCTTTTATGTAAAATATATACGGCCACATATGATGTATAATTTTTTTTATTTATTTCCAGCAGTCTGTTAATATACACTGGCATGTCACCAATGTGTAAAATTATTGTGTATTTTTCTTTCTCCTCCCTCTTTCTCATTCCATTAACAAATCAACCCTATATTAAGTAGATTTGTAAAAATTATATGGGTCCAGGCATCACAATGATTGGTTGTTATTGAGAATATATTTTTACACAAAAAAATATAAAACAACTGTTAGAACCAAAAATAAATAATCCAAAATTTTTGTATACATATCAGATTTACACAATAAAAAAAAAATACACAACGCTACAGAATGGAAAGGCCCCAAATTTCTTTATTTATTTTCTTATATGGACAATACTCCGAGCATCTCCAACTGTTGTATATATATATATATATATATATATATATATATTTTTGTATAAATCTGATTTGTCATAATATAAACAAATAAATAAAAATTGAAAGTTATAATATAAGGAAATAAAAATTATGGGGCCTTTCTATTGGCTAAAGTTTGATAATAAGAAGAAAATAAAAATTTTAGAAAGCTTATAATATAAAGAAAAAAATAAATAAATTGAAGTCTTCCTATTAGCTGAGACCTTAGACAACCGTCTAAGTCGCCTAAAGGTGAAGCCGGGCCTTTATCAAATGCTGCAGCAAATGGTTGAAATAATCAAACTAGCAGATTTCATTCACCTTTTTCTTCTTTTTTATATAAGGTGGAATACTTGACTTTTCTTTTTTGTATGATGGTTCTAAGTCATTGGTTGAAATAATCAAACTAGCAGATTTCTGGAATCATTGGCCTTTTTCTTTTTTCTTTTATAAGGTGGAATACTTGACTTTTCTTTGCTGTATGATGGTTCTAAGTCATTTTTTCAGTGATTTCTCAAGATTCATTGCCTTCTCTCATGGTATTCACTGCTTTAAATTTACAACAAAAACAGAAAATTGAATATTAAAAGGAAGCGATAGAGATGGCAGAAATTGCAGTGGTCTTTCTCCTTGAAAAGCTTACTCTTTTGCTTAATTGAGAGGTGAAGCTGTTGAAGAATGTTCGCAAAGAAGTCGAGTCTGTCAAAGATGAACTAGAGCGCATGCAGGCCTTCTTGAGGATTGCAGATTCAATGGAGGAGAATGATCCTGAATTGAATGTATGGGTTAAGCAAGTGAGAGATGTTGCAGACCACACTGAACACATTCTTGATAAATTCATGCTCAACTTGGCACCACGTCAAGGCCATGGATTCTCAAGTTTCGTGCATAAGATTGGTACCTCTATAACGAACTTAAAAGCCGATCATCAGCTTGCAATTGAGATCCAAGGTATAAAATCTAGAGTCTGCGAAATCTCTGAGGGGCATAAGAGATATCACTACAGGTATTATGCACATGAGAGAGGCTCGAGTTCAAGTGTTGCAAGCAACACATGGCAAGATCTTAGAGCGGACGCTCTTCTGATTGAGGAAGCTGAACTTGTGGGCATAAACAAGCGCAAAAGGGAGCTGATTGAACGGTTAGTGGAGGGCGAAGGAGAGCTTGTGGTAGTCTCAGTGGTTGGAATGGGGGGTTTGGGGAAGACCACCCTAGTTAAAAAAGTCTATGATGATCATGAGGTGAAAAAACATTTCCCCAACCATGCTTGGATCAATGTTTCGCAATCATTTAAGATTGAGGATCTCATAAGAGACATGATTGAACAACTGTATGGCAAAATGAAGTAGCCAATACCTCAAGGAGTAGATACAATGAGCAGCCAAAGTCTAAAAGAGATGGTCAAGGACTTTCTGCAGCACCAAAGGTATGTGATTGTTTTGGATGATATATGGAATATAGATGTATGGGAGGCAGTAAAACGTTCAATGCCTAATAGCAATTGTGGTAGCAGAATAATAATCACCACGCGCTTTGCTAATATAGCTGCAGCTTTATCTGTCAATTCAAGCATCTATTACCTTCAACCATTGTCTCCAGAAGAGTCTTGGACCCTTTTCTGCAAGAAAGTCTTTCGGGATAACTTTTGCTCTTCTCATTTGAAAGATATCTCTCAATAGATATTGAAAAGATGTGAAGGATTACCGCTTGCTATTGTGGCCATTGGTGGGGTTCTATCATCAAAAGACAAGTCTAAGACTATTGAATGGGAACTTATTAGTCGCAGCCTTGGTGCTGAATTAGAAAGCAATGAGAGTCTCAAGAATGTGACGAAAATACTCTCCCTTAGTTACTATGATTTACCCTACTATCTAAAATGTTGTTTTTTGTATCTGAGCATATTTCCTGAGGATGATCTTATTGAACCTATGAGGCTGATTCGGCTATGGATTGCGGAAGGATTTGTGGAAGGAAAACAAGGCAGGACACTTGAAGAGGTTGTAGAGTCCTACCTCAACGAGCTCACTAATAGAGGCGTCGTCCAGATTGCAGAAACAACAACAGGTGGAAGGGTCAGAAAGTGTCGTGTGCATGATCTTTTGGGTGAGAACATTCTTTCAAAATCAAGGGACTTAAATTTTGTCAACATAATCGGTGAAAACAAAACAGTTCTACATGAAAAGGTTCGACGCCTATCCCTCCACAACGCATGTAACAATACATTGCCGAAAAAGAGCTCTCCCCATCTTCGATCTCTATTCACATTTAGGGGTTCATTGTCCAACTCATCTATACGTTCATTCCTTGGTTCCGCTAAGCTACTCAAGGTGTTAGATCTTAGAGGTGCCCCAATAGACCAATTCCCAAATGAGGTTGTCAATCTTTTCCATTTGAGGTATCTAAGCTTGAGGAGTACCATGGTGGATAAGCTTCCAAGGTCCATTGATAAGCTTCAGAATTTGGAGACATTGGATCTCAAATACACCAATGTCTGCAAGTTGCCGGGTCAAATCCTAAAGCTTAAGCAGCTGCACCATCTGTTGGTCTACCGTTATTTAGAGATCACATCATTCGTGCCTTTTGGTGCCAAACAAGGATTTGATGCACCACTTGGAATAGGTTCATTGACATCATTACAAAAGTTATCTCGTATAAGGGCTGATCAAGGTGGAAGCATACCAAGGGAGCTGGCAAGTTTAACTCAACTGAGGAGGTTGGGCATCAAAGGTCTAAGAAAAGAAGATGGCAAATTTATATGCTAGTCCATTGAGAAGATGAAGAACCTCCGGTCATTAGATGTAACATCAGTAAGTGAAATAGAGTTCATTGATATAGATTCTATTTTTTCACCTCCACCATTACAACACTTGTACATCGAAGGGCGTTTAGGGACAATACCTGATTGGTTTTGTTCACTCCATAACTTAGCAAGATTACGATTAGGCTGGAGCAAATTACAAACGGATCCATTAGATGCCCTCAATGATTTGCCCAACCTCGTAGAACTTGAACTAGATCACGCTTATTATGGGGAAGAATTGAGTTTTAAGGCCGGAGGCTTTCAGAAGCTCAAAATTTTGTGGCTTGGAAATTTGAAAAAATTGGCATCAGTTTCACTGGATAAAGGCACAATGCCTTCTTTTCAGAACTTATCCTTTGATCGATGCAAAAGGTTAGAGATCCTGCCATCAGGCATCCACTACCTATCCAACCTCAAGTTGCTCCAATTTTATGGCATGTCTGAACAACTTGCCTCAAGGCTACTTCCACATGGACATGGTGAAGATCACTAGATAGTGGAACACATCCCAGAAGTCTATTTCAGGTAGTGGCAAAAATGGTCAGAGGAAATGATGGAGCAATACATACCAATGGGCCATCCTTGGAACCCGTGGCATATGGTGTTCTCTCTGCTTAGGCTAAAACTCTGAATTATGACATCGAACTTGTGGCATTTGCTTGTCATTCTTTTATTTTGTTTTATTTTCTTCTGCCTTAATGAGGTATGATCAAACTCATTATAGAATGATGATAGCCTCAGTAGTCAGTAGTGGTCATGACAAACCATTTAACCACAGTACTAGTGTCTGAATTTGTGTGTTTTTTTCATAAAGTTGTATCTTTTCCAAATTTTGACCAGACTATCATATACAAATGTGTTTTTTGAGTGCCTAATACTTGTACGCAGGTTCTATAAAGGATCTTCCTGAAGAATTAGCGTGGAATGAGGCTCTTCTGGCTTTTGAAGCTTCAAACTAAATCAAGAGCGTCCTGAAGAGTCATTGCAGTGAGAATTGGAATTCCAAAGTACCAACCTACTTAGCAGAACAATCAAAGAGTAAAAGTCATAGTTTTGAAGGCATTTAACGTGATCAGGTCATAGCTTTTCATGCAATTAATATTAACTTATTAAGATTATTATATTTTTAACTTCTTGTGTCACGGTTTGTTATTCAGCCTCATGCTGCAAACTCTTCTGAGTATCTGAAAATGTCATCCAACATTATCATGCCGAGAAAACTAACCTCGTATATTTTCTCAGAAAAAACAAAGATAAAATGCTACTAAAATGCAACACATAAATCAGAAACGCATGTATCAATCCAATGAAGGTTATGCACCCATGTCATATTATCCCAGCATGTAATTTTCTTATGTAATGGACCAGAACCATTAATATTAATTAATCAGTCTTTAATAAAAATTTGACCATTCCAGAACATTGTTCTAATCAAGTTTCATCAAATCTTCAAAATGTAATAGAATAAATTGGAATGTAGAAGATTGATTTCATTGTCTTCAGATGGACTATGTACTCCATAGTCCATAGTGGGATATAAAATTATTGACTTAATCATATAATGATTCCATTATCCTAATATCAGATGGAATCTACATGTGTACATAATATGGAATTTATCTGCGCAGTTCAAATTCGAACACCTTCCTTGTACTTCCCCCTCAAAGTGGTGTGTGTATAGGGATTGTCACAAAATATTATCAAATGTTTTATATGATATTAGGCTTCAACTTGGAAAAAAAATAAAACTTTAGCAAATGTAATTTACAAATCTTATGAGCCACTATATTCAGCTCGATGGCCTAAAAGTAACTAGTTTTCTGCTTCTTACTGTTCCATGTTAAAGGACTATTCTAAACAATGTTATAATAGCCTGAACAGCTTGCAAAGTGTGAAACATGGTAATCCATTACTTATATTATACTATAGGAGATGATATTGTTACTCCACACACCCCAAAAAAAAAGTGCATTTTTTTTTGCTGGAATTCTTGCCTCAACAAATACTCCTCCTGAACCAAATATATTCATGTTTCTATCTTAGAATTTTTACTCTTTGCTACAGTAATAAGCTTGATTATAATTTACCGAGTAGTAAAATTTAGAATATAGTCATATACGTACAGTGAATAACTTGGTAACCGTTTCACAAAAAGAAGGACATTGAAACATCAAACTTCAATCCATATATATATCTTAAGAAATTGAGTGTTTTTCTCTTTTTTGAAGTGTCAACATTATTTTTCTAATTATCATTGCTAAGATTGGTTGCATGGAATTGGTGCCGAATTGGATTTAAATTAATTTTTCTCCAATTCGATGGCAACGGAACATAGCATTACAAAAGATGAGAAAATAAATTTTAAAAAAATTAAAAAATAGTTCCAATGCGCAACTTTAAGCACTGATGTTTAACACTCCAAAATAGGAATGATAAAGAAAATTGAGGATCCACAAGGAGATTTACATAGAGATACAAAGAGCTGAATAATACAATTGAACATAAATTCATTCCTTTGAAATTATTTATTCGGTGCAAAACCTATTTCTATTTCTTTAATTGACGTTTAAAACCTCAATTTCGTATCCACCACCATCATCAAAACACCACAACATGATTTATGTCATCACTAATTTGAACCCATCTCTTAGTTTCATGTAATTTGAATTTAGATGTAGGGAATAAAGTAACAAGTATATCTAATGAAAAAGTAAAGGAGAATGATTACAATTGGAGGATTAGGCCTCCCTAACCTAAGCTCCCTCAACAATGCAGCTATCATGAAGCATATTTGGAATATTATCAATGGCAGCAGTCAAAGTATACGGGTTAACTGGGTTAAGCATTACCTGATTAGAGGTAGGCGCTTCTTCTAGGAACTGAACATCCCTCAATCACGCTCCTGGTGTCGGAGATCAAAAATTACTTCAGCTTAGAGTCTTAGACATGCCACCAAGTCCCTTGTTAGCTCCAGGATTGGAAATGTTTCTTCCACCCGCTTTTGGTATGATCACTGGCTCCCAAGTGACTCTCTCCTGACAAGTTTATTTGGTTACCATCTATGTTACATGGACTCTTCAAAAGTAGTGAAGTAACCGTGTCTGATACATGTTGCTCGGGCATGAGTAAGGGATATATACGTTCGACACTTTTGGTTGGACATGTACTTAAAAAGCATATTCAATCGTTAAGTTATATTATATTATTACTTTAAAATGAGTTAAAATCCTATATTGAACACTAAATTAAATATAAAAAAACATTACTTTACTCAGGAAAATAAATTAAACCAATTAAATAAAATTAATATTTAGCAGTGTCAGTGTATCATTCTGTTTAGAGATTTGACATATCGGATACTTACCAGTGCCCGATACACATACCCGAGTCCATGTAACATAGTTTACCATCTCCTACAAGATCTTTCTCTCTTAAGCGTGTACCCTTGCTGTCGTCTCTCCTGCCTCCTCCCCTGTCCCATGGAGCCATTTGGTTTGGTCTACATTCAATATCCCCAGGCACTCCTTCGTTCAGTGGATGGCTATTCTCAACAGGCTACCCACCAATGACCAGAAGAGTGTTACTCATCGTCATATATCGAATATCTGCCGCCTTTGCAATCTGACTGAAGAATCCATCAATCATCTCTTCTTTGTCTTCCCTCTTGTTTCACCCATTTAGAGTTTTGTTCAAACTAAATGTCAGGTTCCACATCCTTGCATCTAGCTGGAATGATCTTATTCTCGGGTCTTTATGCCGCTGGAAAGGGCGCGAAAGTATCAAACACTTGGTGTGCAAACTTGCAGTCTCGGCCATTGTTTTAGATTTTTGGCTCAAAAGAAATGCCAGTGTTCAGGGATTCTGCCACTACAGCTTCCTCGATTCTGAAGCGAATGGCTGATTGCATCAGAGAGAAGCTTCTGTCTTGCTCATATTGAAACTCTCATTTGGCGCGCAGCATTGTTTTGGACGGTATCTCACCAATTCTTTCCTCAGACGGACCTCTCCTTGGTAAACCCATTGTCTCATTTCTAACAGTTGCAACGGTTAGATACTGTAATTGAGTTTGGGCCTCTTACCTTTGGGCCTCTTGTTGCCCTTAGGCTGTTTGCTTTTGCCCGTTGCTTTTGCTTCGTGTCTTTTTTCTTTTTCTTTTTTATGGGCTCGGCCCACCTTTTGTACATTGTTCATTTTTTTTTTTTTCTTCTTTATAACATAAAATGCTTTTATTAAAGCCCAAAAAGAAAAACAAGCCACGAAGCAAAAACTAACATAAAATGCCCATTTTTTTTATTTTTTAAATTAGCATGATTTCATGTCATGACTTTCAATCTAATTTCACGGGGTGTTAGGAACTAATTTGACAATAGTTTCAGAAATATTTTATAATAATTTTAATTTTTTTAAAAATTATAATATAAAACCCAAAGGCTCTTAATTTAAAATTTTGTGCCAATAAATTTGTGTAATAATTCAGCAAAGGACATAGGTAGTTTCTCATTTCACATGCACATAATAAAGAAAATTTTATGTGACAGTTTAAAGAAAATTTGAACTTCCAACTCAGTAAATGGACATGTCATTTCTCATTATATTATTTTTTTTACTCCTCTCACCCTAATGCTTACGTAAATATGTCAGTGAATGGGCATGGCCAAAAAAAAAATCATGTCTTTAATTTTGATCAGCCAAACTTTGTTTAAATTAATACAAAGAAGTAAACAAATGGATTATTCTTTCAACAGAATTTGTAATTATTCATAAATACATATTTATGTTTATTAGTGGTACTTTATGATAAAATAAAAATATTGTAATACTGACTAAACTAAATTTATTAATTTAAATAGTGACCAGATAATCAAATCATGTTACATAAAAATGGTACCTTTTTTATTTTTAAAAATTTTGAAAATGGTATTGTTAATTAACTTCTTCTTTTTTTAAAAAAAATTTCATGGCAACCAAGCATCCAAAAAATAAAAATAAAAATGTGATGAATGCATTTCACTTTCAACCTAAACAACATTGTCCTCGATTTAATTCGAATGAAGAATAAGTAGATATTTTTGTCGTTAACTGAAAAAAAAAACAATGCATTTAAAAAAAATAAAATAAAGAGCAATTATCATTTTCCAAAAATTATATACCATCATTTTCCAAAAATTATATATGGAGAATAGGAAAGACAACTCTTATCACATTTCCAATATAGAATCGGTGAAGGTGAGAGAGAAATTATACAATTTTGATATATATATATATATATATCAAGAGTGACAGAGAAAGAGAGGAGAGAGAAAGATGTTGTTTCAGGTGGGAGGGCAAGGGACTCGTCCCACCTTCTTCGAGATGGCCGCAGCTCAGCAGCTCCCTTCCAGTCTGAGATCTGCCCTAGCCTACTCTCTCGGTGTACGCAATCACAAACGCACCTCCCTCAAAACTCTCCTTGTTTTTTGAATTAATTGCTCTGAATCCCTTACAATATCATTCACTAGTTTACTCTGCAATTATACACTTACTGAATACTGTTGCTTTTTTTTTTTTTTAATTAGGGTTCATCAAAATTACGAAATGCTTTATGGTTGTTAGTTACTTTGCAATTATGCTTTTACTGAATACTATTGATTATTTATTTATTTATTTATTTTTTTCTCTCTCTTTTCAAGTAGGGTTCATCAAAATTATGAAATGCTTCGTGGTTGTTTTAGTTGCTTTGCAATTATGCTTTTACTGAATACTATTGTTTTTTGTTTTATCTCTTTTCAAGTAGGGTTTATCAAAATTATGAAATCATTGAAATGGTTGGATGTTTGTTTTAGGTCCGGAGCTTATAACATAGATATATTATTATTATTTTTTTTAAGTCTGGATTTTACCATATTTAATAACTGGCTTAATGGTTGTCGTGTATAAATAGTATTTTAACAAAATTTATAAACCTATTTGATTTATTCTTATCACATAGGATACGGTAACTTGTCATTGTAGGCTTACATTGCGGGTCAACAGTATGTGCTTGATTATGGAGGACATGCTCGGGATTAGGTTCTAATTTTCATGGTGTATATTATTTGTTGTTGATAAAGGTAGTTACTTAATGCTATTGCTGCTTATGTGGGATGCTAAGAGGGAAAGACTGGAGAGAGAATTACCCTTTTCCACTATTTTTGCAATGAGTGATTTACGTTGCATTTGGATACGCATTTTCATGCTTTTTAGTCCGGGATTTTACCATTGCAATAAGTTACACTATTTGTTTTTATTTTTATTACTTATAATTATAATGTATGAATCTAGAGTGGAGATAAATGTTAAACTAAAAGTTTGGAGCAATAGTATATTAGTATGAAAAGGATCCAGTAGCATGTAGTTAACTGGAAGGATAATCTGACAACTTATGTAGCCAATCGCAAATAGTTGGTACAAATTTTGTTGAGTTGGCTTGATGTGATGAAATGGTTTTGTGATGCAGACTCTTAACACCACCATTACTTCAGAATTCATACAGCATGAAATTCCATACCGAATGTCTCATCTCGTCCGTATGAGATTTTATGGTGTATGTTATTTGCTGATGATATTGTTTAAATTGATAAAATTAGAGGAATAAGTGTTAAATCAGAGGTTTGGAGGCAAGCTCTGCAATTAAAATGATTTAAGATAAGTAGGAGTAAAATTGATATATGGAGTATAACTTAGTAAATTTAGAGGTACCAAAGAGGATGTAGTGAAGATTGAGGATCAAGAGATACCAAAATTCAAAATTTCTGTTTTTTAGGCTCAATTATTCATTATGAAGAAGAAATTAGAGATTGTGTTAATAATATAATCAAAGCAGGATGAACTAAAAGGAAGAGTGCATGTAGAATATTATGTCATCTGTTGTTTCTCTAACAACTATTAGACCAACAATTCTTTATGGAAGACAATGTTGAACAATTAAGAACAACAAATGGATAAAATGGTTGTGACAGGAATAAGAATGCTAAGATGCATGTGCAACTAGACAAGAAATGATAAAATTAGAAATAAACAAACTAGTGAGATGGTTGAAGTAGCACCCCTTGGTGATAAAATAATAGAAAATTAATTAAGATGGTTTGGACATGTGCAATGAAGACATTAAGTGCACTGGCTAGGATGAGTGACGTGGTCTGCCTTAAGGGTAATGTTAGAAGAAGGTGAAGACCAAAATTAACATAGGTAGAGTTAGTAAGAAAATATATGATAACATGTTGTTTGACTGATGTTGTGGCCGAGCAAAATATAAGAATTAGTGTTCATGTTGCCAATCCCAAGTAATGGGGAAAAGACTTTTTTGTTGAGTTGAGTCAATTCAACCAGTTAGTCTAGCCAAACTTCACAACATAAATAGCGAATTTTTAACAGTTTCCCAAAATTGCTTGATATAGGTTCTCTTCTCCTCAGATTGATGGCAAATTGTAATATGGAATGTCAGGAAACCATTCAGTGAAAGATCTTAATGCATGATTTTAATGGATACAGTAATTTATGGGGGTATTTATCTCATGGAAGTTAAACTGTGTTTTATAGAAGATTCATACAAGTATGTTGTTTTATTGTTGCCTCAAGATTTGGTTGTTCCTAACTCCATCATTTTGTTTAAGTGGGTATATATCTCCGAATAACACCTAATTTGTTGCAACATTTTGGTCTCCCTTAGCTGTCACTACCACTGGGCATCTTCTGAACTAAATGTTGAAGTTCTCGTTGTTATGATTAATGTGCTGGCCTTGCCTTGACTATTATATTTTGCCTTTTAGTTTTAAAGCTAGATTACCATTGTCTTCTGCGTTATCATAGATTATTACTTGTCTAATCTTGCAGGTATTGGCTTTACGTAGACCAGTCCTCCATAGGGTTTTAGACTATGAAGATGAGTTCTTCGCTTTGCTGATGCTAATTCTTGAGACCCATAGCTTACGAACCACAGGTTTTTTTCCTCTTATTTTAATTCCTTTTCACCAGTTTTTCTATGCCAGTCTCTGCTTCATTTATTGAATATTCGAATCTAATTCCCTCTGGGAATTGTATTTTGACATCATTACTTTGCCAGATGATATTCTAAAAGTAATTGCCGCTGCCATCCAAATGTACATTTTATTTATAATGAGTAAATTATTAAAATTTTATTCGAAGTATCTTGAATGGGAATTCCTTAAGGAAACATACCAGGTTTAATAAGTTTTTCTGTTTCTTCTATTTTTTGCATTAATTGTTTCATTATTGTTTGTTTGACTACCTTTTTTTGTGCATGTAGTGGTCTATACATATTTTTGGTAAAGCCTGTCAACTACACACACTTGCATTATTCTATGAGATGTGAACCTCTTACAGTTGCTGTTATTTCTGAGACAATGATTTTATTGTGTTCGAAGTTCTCTTTGTTTCCACTCTTTTTTGTTGGGTCTCAGGTAGAGATTATAGATCTTTAGAGGAAATTGTTGATTTTTTGGCCTCTTTGAAGGTGTAGAGGCTGTTTTTGGCCTTGTATTTGTTCTCTTGGGATGCGCTCCCCTTTTGAGCGCTTTATATACAATTCTTACTTATCAAAAAAAAAAAAAAAAAAAAAAAAAAAATTGATTTTATTGTGTTCGTGTAGTTCCATTTTAGGATCATGGCCAATAAAGTTACAGGCTGATTAATGTGCCCCATTAAATTTCTTGGCTGTAATGGTCCCCAATGGGCTCCATAATTGCAATTTGGACAATGATTATGAACTGTAGTTTAGTCATTTCTACATTTTTCCTTTTTCACAATTTGACCATGAATTTTATGAACTGTAGTTTAGTCATTTTCTCCACTCTTCTTCTTCCTCCTCCTTATTATTTATTGAATTTTGTTTTTTAGCAATTTTAGGTTCCAAATTCTTCATAAACCTAATAGCACTACTCAAACATATTATATGCAGGACTAGGATTAGATTTTATATCAAGATCTTGTGACATTTTATTTGGATCAACAAAGACCCTTCAGAGTGTCTTTCTTCTTCAGTTTGTGTAATTGGTTTTTAGTGCGTAGGTCAACAACCAACTCCAATGTGTAAATTTATTTGGTAGTGTGTCCCTGTAAAAGATTTGATTGACATGAAAAGTTCAAATTTCAATTTATAACTTGTTCCACTATTCTGTTTCGTTGATCCTTATTTCTTAACTCCCTTTGCTTACACATTGAGGGGGAAAATAAAGAAAAGAAAAGGAGAAGAATAAAGGAGGAAACTTCTGTTACTAATTGACCACCTTCACCTGGTTTTGATTCTTCTCAAGTACATTATTCCTAGTGTTATGCAAATGTGTTATATTAAGACCTAGATTGTGTTTTTGTTTATTTTATTTTATTTTTTTAATATAAAATAAAGTTGCTTCTTCATGGTTCCTGCTTAATTCATTCTATTGTACTTTCTCAGATGCTTCTTTTTCTGAGTCTTTATATGGCTTGCGAAGGAGAGCAGTTAAGATAAGAGTGAAGATGGATAGTACTCGTCCGGACTTAGGTGATAGAATCCATCACTCAGGGTTAGAGAAGCACCAAAAAGTTCTCTCTGTTGTGTTCATGGTACAGAAATTTTCTTCTGTTTTTCAGTTACAAGTTTGTATGGAGAAACTTGAATTTGTCTTTATGATTGGAATATCAAATTATGCTCTTGTTTGTGGGTGAATTCCACATATTTATCGTTCTTTTGTTGTGAGGACATTTTTACCTATCGAAGGAAAATTTTCAATGAGATATTCTTTTTTCTTACGCAAGAACTAGTAATCAGTTGGTAGACTTTATGAAGTTAAAATCCCTGTGCTGGTGAACTAATGACATGCATGTGTCTCATAATTTATATCCTTGCATATTATAGTTGTTCTAGGAATCTATAGTGCACTCAACTAATATTAACTTTCTATTTTTTAATGTGTTACCTCACTTAAAATAAAGATCAAGACAGTTCTCAACTCATTTTGGCCCTGTTCACTGTTTAGATTGACTACATGAATCCTTTTTTGTGATTTCGTTCGATTTAGGGTCACAATTTTGTCCTGCCTGCAGAGTTGAGCTTGGACACAGACACACATGCACACTTTAACCTTACTCTTTCTCTTATTCCAAAAAGGACGAGAGAATAGAGATATAATGGTGATCTTGTAATCTGTAGTTGAATTTTGAAACCTTTTATTATTCCATATTGATATTGTTAATGGATCAGATTTTGTCCTGAACACCTGCATAGCATATGAGTACATTTTATTTACAACTTAAAAAATATTTATCCATGAGAAATATCTACTCTTAATGCTCTTGTAAGGCCAAGGGGGAATGTTATTTGAAGTGGATATAAATGCTCTTGTGAGGCCAAGGGAGAGTGATATTTGAAGTGGATATATTTGTGTAGGTTGTGCTGCCGTACTTTAGGTCGAAATTGCATTCAATCTTTAACAGAGAAAGGGAAGCTACTCTTCAAGCAAGTTTATGGGGACATGATGATGAAAGATTTGATGATGCTGATTATCTTGGTGGAGCTGGTAATTCTTTTGTTTCAACAGGTGGATCAGATGTAGCTTCATCATCTTCATCACACTTGATGAAGAGGATTCAGAAGATTATAGGTGCTTGCTACCCATGGATACATGCTGGAAATGAAGGTGAATGCAGCTTAAGTTTTTGTCTATTTTGTTTTTTGTTTGTTTATTTATTTTCATATTTATATTGGAAGTTATACCTATGGGATAAACATTGGCTTGATTAATATTTCAGTTTAGTTTATAATTCAAATATTTGTTTTTGTTTTTTTATTAGAGTAAACATTTAATCAGCAATGTATAATTTAGATTTTTTTCTCATTTTTTTAGTTTCATTTCTTTTCCTTCTCATCCTTTGTGTTCGATAGATTTTTATATTATTTCTTTGTGGATCACGGATCATGATCTAATAAATTTATGATATTATATTATATTAATTTATTTATATTTTTGCTGCATATGCAAGTCTCATGTGTATGAAGTCAGTCAACTTTTGAGCTTAGTTTTATTTTCCCTGGTTTCAGGGATGAGATATCCTATTCATTGTGACATATCGACCGATATCTCTCATGTCAATTAATTATAGTGATATTTTGATAGGATATAAACACCACATCTTATTGATATTTTCACAAAATATTACAATAAATTGATTGGTATATTGCAAATCATCAGAAAATTGGGATATTTTGGGCAATAAATTGCATAGGATGTCACAAAATACCCCACTAACCATGCTTTATGTCCATATCATACAGATGTTTCATAAAGTGCATATATTCCTTTAATTTGAAATGTACATGTTAACTGTTGGATTAGATTATAATAAGTTGTGTTACATGTATAGAGTACTAAGCAAGTAGGCAATTTACCCAATGAAACTAATTTCTGAAGGGGAGAATGTAATTATATTTTTGAGTTTGAACTACATAAGAGCTACATGTAATACTGACTGTAGGACTGCATCGGTTGATTATTTTACATATTGGTTTGTTGTGGACTTGATGGTATATTTCAACTTTATTAATAATTATTTTCAAGTTTCACCCTTATTGTTGTTATTATTATTATTATTTTATTCTATGATATTATAGTTTATCGGTGTTCTTTATATTCCCAGTGGCATACATATTTTATACCCACACATCGACACTTGTCAAATATACATTTTAGTTGCAATATTTTGTTTTAAAATCATGCATTTGTGTCTTGATCAAGACTTCCAAATTTTTTCTTTCAAATCCTTCTTTATTTGCTGTTAGTATCCATCCTTTTTCTTTTTTCATAAAAATCATGATATCATTATGTGATTGCGATATATTTATCAATATATGCGTACTTGCATTTTCGTTCTTGTGATATAGCATTTGTCAATTCTTTATTATTTGTTGAGCTTAGATTAGAAGTTGTGTTCAATGAACCAATGTCTCTCCATATTCCTTCTTGAACTTGAAGTGCTTAGTGTTAAATAAGGGAGATGCCATGTAAGCTATGACAAGCTCATGAGTCATGGCTTTGTCATAACTCTGACCATATCAGTATTTAACACACATTTGCAATGAGCAGAACATGCCCCTTGGGTTAAGCCCTTGGTCATAACACAAATTGAATACCACATCTTTAAGAGTTCCATGATATTTGATTTTTAATACTTATCAAAAAAAAAAAGAAAAAGAATTGATATTTGATTTTTAATAATATATGTTATCCTTCAAAAGTGGTAAAGGATTCCAACTACATTTCAAATAGAATTAGATGGAACATGCTTGTCCATTCTTTTCTATTTTGGTTGCCAACTTATTTCATTTTAATTTTTGAATTTATGTTGTACCTTTTTTCATTTTGATGAACAAATATTTTATTAAGGACAAAGGTAGGGATTAAGCACCTTCCAATTTTTTTTTTGAAAAAAAAAAAGAGAACAGAAAAGGATAGGGACCAAGCCAATCTTCTTGTGGGGTAAGCACATAAATTTAAGGTGTTAATAGTTGGACAAACTGAAAATTAACAACTAAACATTTTAAGAGCTAAAGTTTCAAGTGTTGAAATTTTAAGTGTCAGTCATAAATCGAAAATTTATTTCATACATTTTTGAGCAAGTGTTCAGTATTTTGGGATAAGTGAAGTTTCCCTTGCTTAAAATTTTATGCGATTTTAACTCGCATCCATATTGTGTTACCTTACTTAAAATTTTATCTGATTTTAAGTGGCACAAATTCTTTTCAAGTGGCATCTATATTTGTGTTAACTAATGCATTTAATTGAATAAACACTTAATTCGGGAAAAAAGAAAAAGAATAAGCACTTAATTTATTCAGAATTAAGAATTGAATAAATTTATCAATCAGCACCTAAATCTCAAGTCAAGAGAGAAGACTTGCAACAAGTTCAGAAATGGAATCACATTCTCTAAACCTTTAGAGGCACTCCAATTGAAAATATATCTAAGCAAATGGAATCCTGTTCCTGTGACTGATGGCAGTGGGGAAGCCCTTTACAATTGAATACTCAACCTCCTCGATAGTTCTACTTTTTCCTTACAAATGGACCAAAACAAGGGAATCTTCTGCAAAAGGTTTTATCTTTTCATTACTTGGTTTATTTCACCAATCACAAAGCAAATGTCCATTGTGGCACATCCAAGAGCAAGTGAATTTGAGGGCCTACTCGCACCACTCAACATAGGAAAAAGAAGTGATACCAACTAGTGGTCCTTACACATTATACATGTATTTCGGATTGACAAGAATCTGATTACAGATGAGCCAATTTTAAACACCTATAGTTCACCACCAATCACGTAAGGATGTTGCCTTCGTAGCAACGGGTAAAATACACACATCTTCTGTCTAAAACTTGATCACCTTAACTTTAGACATGGTCTGATAACAGGAATTTAAAGATCATGTGATTTATCTGAATTTATATCATAATTTGCATCTAGTTTATATTATAATGCTTTCTATCAAGACTTGATGTATTGTTCTCACGGCCATCCGAGTCCCTTCTAATCTGAGATTTTTAACTCTGCAGGATTATCATTTGCTTATCAGCTTTTATATCTCTTGGATGCTACTGGGTTCTATTCCCTAGGATTACATGCACTTGGTATTCATGTTTGTCGAGCTACAGGGCAGGAGCTGGTATAGATTTATATAGAATTTCTATTATTTGTTCTTTAGATTTGTTCATCTTGCTGTTAATCTATGCATTTTTTATACAAGCTTTTTCCATTTTATATACATCCATCAATCTTGTCTAAAATGATACGACAGCGAATGGTTTATTATCAACTATTTGTTTCTTGTCCAAAAAGCTTTCAGTACTTTATCAAGTTTGTGTGTTTATTTCTTTTTTTGGTCCTGTCAACCAAACAATTAACAATTAAGTTTGTGTGTTTATCAAGTTTGTGTGATTATTCATGAGTAAATTAATTGCCACTATTATTAATTTGCTTTGTTGAGTGTGAACTTCATATACTAACCGGGAAATGTACACATTTGATTTGGAGATCCTTTAATTCTTTGTATGCATCTTTGCTTGCATCATAGTTCTCTTCCAAAACACCTAGAGAGTCTACTTTACTGTTACTTTTGCTGTTATTTTCCTATTTTATTGTTTGCATCTTATGGCTACTTTAATGACTAGGTATGTTGGGGGTATATCATTTATTTATTTATTCCCTATATGGTGTTACGGTTTATTGGCTAAATAAGTGAGCATCAACTCTTCAAGTGTTGATACTTTCTGATTTGAGATATTCCACAATGCTCATAACTCTATGTATCTGTTAAGGAATAATGTTGTGCCAATTGTTGTATTTATGTTACATTTATTATGATGCTAGGAAATTCAATCAATTAGTATTGGATGCTTTCTAGGATAAGCTTTTGTGTACCTGGTTTTGTCCATCTCATTCTCATCTCATCAAGGAACCAGAGAGATAAAACATAGATGAGAAGAAATGCATATATACAGATATATCTCATTGGATGGATGTTATATTTTTCCTTGATAGATCAAAGTACCAATCCTTGTCATTTTTATTTATTTTATCTTATTATTTTGAACTTCATAATTTTCTGATGTCAAGGTAGATGGATACTTCTTCGAGAATTTCAAAGGTAAGAAGCCGTGAACGTGAGAGACTCCGTGGCCCTCCTTGGTTGAAGGTTGGTATTAACGCTCTTAGTTCAGTTCATTACTAGATGTTACTCTCTATGTTCTTTTGTTTGCCTGAAGTAATAAAACTAATTATTTAATCCTGCTCCTCCATTTCAGATAAAATTGTATCAGAAATGCATCTAGCTTTTTGCAATATATTTTTCTTTTCACTCTCTATTTTCTATTTTATATGTTGGCTTCCTTGAAGACAAGCAGTGGAACTGTTTAAGTTGGATGACATCATGATTTATTTCATTAGTAGAGGTGTCATGCTTGCATTGATTAGCCTGATAAACGAAATCTTTTTCTTGTTCTATGATGTAGTCTATATTCGCTCGCTATATATATATATTGAGTTGGACAAGATTGACTGAGAACTTAGCAACCCACAGGACACCAAAAAGAATAATACAAAATAATTTATTAATTAAGAAAATAGTCAAGATGTGGAAGTGGTTCTTAAAGATACCCATCCTGAAGTTTTCTACTATTTGTTCTTTTTTTAGTTGGGTTATGGGGAGAAATTGTATATCTTTAGATGAAATCGTGGACTTTTTGGGTTCTTTGGGTCCATAGGACTCCCTTTTTTGGTTTTGGTATTTGTACAGCTCTTGGGACGCGTTCCCCTTTTGAGCGCTTTCTAATACAATTTTACTTATAAAAAATAAAATAAAATGGTTGACTGCTTTAGATAGTAGAGTAGGTTCTTGCTGAGGATGTGGAACAAATATCACATGAACGCGGATAAATGGAGATTCTACATGGATGGAAAACCACGGGTTGGGGATTTGGTTTATGATGTAATGGAGCTTGGCTTGAGCAGATGCCAAACCGCTAGCATTTGGTGGGAAGAATTAGCGACATGAAAACTTTTTATCTTGTCGGAGTTAATTGACTTCCCAGTTTTGGCAGCTTGGTATAGAGACCATGTTGGAGTATGCGGAGGAGACACCTAGTGTATATGTGAGAGCACTTGTGGTCTCTCTCTCTCTCTCAATGATTGGCCGAAGTTCAATCCATGGCACTCAACATGCATGAATCAAGAAATGTTGCTTGATATTTATCATATATGACTTAGAATCACACTTCGTTTTGCCCTTGTATTTAGTTGGTAAGTCACAAAACCTCCAAGGGACCCATTGACATTGTGCTTTGACTGCAAGATGATTGTTAATGTGATCCATTGGCATTGCGCTTTGACTACATTATTATTGCTAATGTGATCCATTGGTCACATTGTAACCTTGCTCCAAGCTTAAGGAGCTCCCGCAGCCCAACTCCACAATTATTGTTGCTGTTTGTGATGTAGAGTGGGGACTAGCAAGGCAATGAAGAAATTGCTCATGGAGATGGATTCTATGCAGGTCTAAGAGACCTCGTGGTAAGACCCCCCATGTCTAGGCCCTAGACCATGATATTGCACTAGGTGGTCTTAAACTTGCTGCAGTGGTATAGGAGAGATCTTTTTTTTCATTTTTTTTTTTATCCCCTGCAAAAAATTCCCACAGTACTCTTGGGAAGACTTGAACCCTCTACCCGCCACTTTGAAAGGAGAGGAAGTACCACTAGGCCACAGGCCTTGGTAGTGCTATAGGAGAGATCTAAGTAGCACAAATTGTGACACAATGTGACACGCTTATGCCAGCACTTCAAATCTAAAAAGTAGGACGTATACGCCGCATGGACACAACTAAATATAAATATAAATTTTTATCTATATGCATCTATTGAGTAAGAGAATCATAGAACTCTTATTTATATTTAATTTCTCTACAAAGAATTACAGAATTTAGAAGATGAAGGTATCCAAATATCACAAAGACTATTCTATTATATATGTTACTACTCTCTCTTTTATCATTCCAATTATATATTTGTCCTTTATATATGAAATAAGTGTCATAGCATGCCTGACTTGTGACGATGATGTGTATAGCATCAAAGTTTCTTAGGAAGAGAAGGTTGGACACTTTTGAGGTGTGTTCATATAGTTTTGATGATTGTTGTACGAGCCTACCGGTTAGATGTATTTATGTTATATAAAACTTGCATTGGGAGTTTTAGGGATGTGGGGGCCAGTTATCTTGATGTGTCCAAAATAACGAAATTTATATTCAAATTATGGACAAGTCCATGAAGCGTTGTACATGTGTCCTTGAAGTGTTGGTGTTAGGTATGTGTCCAACCCACAGGCTTGACACCTTCGTAGAAGTGTACTTACTTCTTAGGAAGAAATCCACGAGACAATGGGTGTGAGTGATGCAGCAGTTAAAGCAGAAGTTTTTTGGCACATGGTTTGTACCTTGTGTGGTTTAGTTGGTACCACATATCTACAACTACCTAAGCAATAGTGTGGGTTTTGGAGGTGGAAGGATGATTGATAAGGAAAAGGAGCTTCCATTTTGCAAGATTAGTAGCTGAACAAAGTTTCTCGTTTTTTCTAGGATTAGAAGCATTACTCTTGAAGTCTTGTAAGTTTTGACTTCTGAGTATACAAAATTATTTTTTATTAGCGTTCCATTGTTGGCCAAAAGCTTAAGGATATTCCATTATTCAAAAGAGGTAGCAGCAGCACTGGTCTTTATCATAGCTTAGGATGGAAGGTCATGAATGACATTCCTCTTTTCCCAGTGTTGATCTCCTTTAGTCGAGTTCCAGGAAGGGTGAATTAATTTCAAACAAAACCTTTTAGCATTAAGTGGCTTTCTTCATGATCAAACCTGCTTTCTCATGCATGGCGATCCGAGCTTATACCATTGCATTGTGCAATGAACCTATAACTTTTTAGGCCTAAGCTTTGATCGTAGAGTAGGACAAAACTAGACCAAAATTGTTTGGCCTGATTTGTGTGAAGCCCATTGATGGATTTGCAACGAGGACCATATTGTAAATTTTCTGGGTTTCCACTTACACATGTAGGAAATTAAGCCTAAGAGTCAGAGACTAGTTCAATATATCCCCATCATACTCCTATGGATGACGGTGGGCCTTGGTGCACGATAAGGTTGCTCCATTATGACCTGGAGGTCACAAGTTCGAATATGGAAACAGCCTCTCCATGCGGAGGCAAGGCTGCGTGCGTTTGACCCTCCCCAGACTCCTCAATGGTGGGAGTCTCGTGCATTGGGCCAGGGAAGGGGAAAAAAAAAGGCTTCCTATGGATGTGAAAAGATGGTATCCCCTTTATAAAACTAAGATATGGTTCACATATTGGCCCTATTTTCTCCTATTCTTAAATATATATATTTTTATATATTTTATTGTTTGTTGAATAAAATGTGAATTACCTGGTTAAAGAAGTCTTTGTGTCCTAAATTATAAGCCTCCTATTATATGGGTGACATGTTTAAACATGTAAGACTGGACATAATTTTGTAGTCAAGGTGTCCTGTCAAAGAACAAGCTTGTGCTTATTGGAAGATTGTTCCACATTGTGTCTGGTGGTGTTTGTGGCGTGAGAGGAATAACAGATCCTTTGAAGGAAAAGAATCGTCTTTAGCTAATTTAAAAATTCATATTCTTCGTTCTTTATTCTCTTATGTAAGACGAAGTGCATGCTCCTCAATTGATGATTTCTTTGATCTCTTGGATTCCATTGGTCCTTAAACCTTTCTTCTTGTATTAGGGACGCGTTCCCCTTTTGAACGTTTTTCTAATATATTTTTACTTATCAAAAAAAAAAAAGTTGTGAGCCAATGAACAACATAATGCTCAAACTTTTGCCATTTATTCGAGCCCAAAGAAAAAAATATTTTGCTCTTATATTTTAGGATCTAATGCTCAGTTTATCACAGCTATTTCAATTTACAAATATTCTTAATGTTAAACAAGCAATGAAATCAATGCCATTGTGAATAAAAGAAAAAGAAATATTTAAGCAGTGCTATGACTGTCCTTGTGACTGCTTTTGCATTAAATTTTCTGGTTATGGTAGATAAGTTAATGATCATCTACTTTGCCATAATCAGCAGCAAGTTGTTACAGTTCATTAGATAATTCAAGGATGGTATCAGTCCATAGACAGCTATGATCCAGTTTCTGGTTAACAACCCCCACCCCCACCCCCAGTTTTCATATGATTTGTCATAGTGTTATCCTATATGTAGGAAGTTCTAATCAAAATTTATTTGATGTATGTTACCCTTCAGGCATTACAGGGAGCATTGCTGAGCTGTACATATACAGTTCTTGACTATGCACAAACTGGTCTCATTGCTGCAGTATTCTTCTTTAAGGTGAGTGTGTTCACCCTTTTGCACTATTTAATGTTGTATTATTGTTATTATTATAAGTGTGCCTCGTGTTTTTTGTGATTGACCAACTATAATTGGTTAGTTTGTAATCATGTTGAACCTTGTTCTTCAACCACCACTCCCTTTTCACCCTACAAATTCTCTCTAAATTTCTTCTATTGATGTGGATATCTCACAGATGATGGAATGGTGGTACCAATCTGCTGAGGAGAGAATGTCAGCTCCAACTGTGTACCCCCCACCTCCTCCTCCTCCACCTCCAAAGGTAAGTGAGTTATTCTATGATGCATTGGCCGCTTCTCTCCATCAGTAATTGGCATGTTCAACACATTTTGGTACTACACATGTATCTCTTCTAACACTGGTTTGTTCACTTGGGAAAAGATTTACCTTTATTTGCTCAAAGAACATAGAGAATAAGTGCCTTGTTTCAATGGAACTCATTTTACTATTGCACTTGTTTCACTTTTTAATTACCTGTTATCACCACATATAGACAACTTAAAAAGAAGAAGAGAAGAAGAAGATAAATGTACCTATTTATGCATTTGACTGAGTAATTTACAACTACATGCACACATATAGATGTTGCCCTGTATCTAGATTATAAAAATTTGCACCATCTGACACCAATTGCCCCCTAGCCTGTTTGGAAAAGTAGCACTCAATTCCATGACCTCAAATCATTGGCTTTCCATCTCTCTCTCTCTCTCTCCTATATATATATATATATCTCACACACACACACACACAATTATGCAGATGTGTATGTACACACACACAAGTATCACAGAGGATTGTGTGGAAAAAATGATTATTGACTTTAGAGAGGGAAAAGAAAGATGCTCTGATAACTTTGCTTATCAAAAGAACGACCTTATGATAATACTATTACCCGATGCTGGTGTAGCCTATGTAGTGTGCGGAGTCGGATACAGACCTGACCATTATCAAGAAATTTTGCACAAAGTGGTTGCTTTCGTACTAGAACTCGCTTTTAGTTTGTCAATCCAAGCTTTTGCCATTATGCCAAGCAATAGCCCCTAAAGATGATCTAATGATAATATCAGTAATTTGTAGGTTTTATATGCTGTCAGTACATATGGATTTTTTAACATAGTAGCATCAATTCATTAGATGCTTAATAGATAAAATTGAAAATAGACTATATTTTTGCTGCTGTATTGCCTTGGGAAACTCAGTTCTTATAAATAATTTAGTCTATCACAAAATACAGGTAGCCAAAGAGGGGATTCCACTTTCACCTGATAGAACAATATGCCCTTTGTGCTCACAAAAGCGTGCTAATCCTTCAGTAGTTGCAGTTTCAGGGTTTGTCTTCTGTTACGCCTGCATATTCAAGTATATTTCTCAGGTGAGTTCCTCAGACCGTTACTTGTTGCCTTTTGACTGTAAGAATGAAAATTACCAAAATGTTTTTGATGAACATAAGTTTTGTCCTATGCATAATAGTCTGAATTCAAATTAATCTACTTGCATCATTTTGTTGAAATGATAGCTTATTTATCAGTTCTTCCTGTTCTTAGCATAAATTCTTAAAATAATATCTCCGCGTTTATAATCCAAAAATGTGAAGTGTTAGCAAATAGATTTCAAAGGTGGAGGAGGTATTTGTTGAAGTCCTATCTGAATTCACACTATTATGCAACTAGATTAATTTGCAAACATTTAATTCACAAAACGGGCTGTTAGCTTGAGTGGTATCTCATCAATCCTATGAAGGGAAAGGTACCGGGTTAGCGGTTGTGACATGGGTGCATGTATAGAAGTATATATTTCTTAAATTTTCCAATTTGGTATTTGGTTATCTCCCAATTAGTAATCACAAATTTCATTACCATTATGCTTATGGTCTTATTACAACTACATCTAACACACCATCTTCCATAGTAGTTGTTAAAATCTTGATTCTGGATCTTAGAATCTTACGATTCTACGATCCTAAATTGCCAAAACAATTTTGATCCCATATAAAATCTCTGAGAAGTAGAATCTAAGTAGGATCTGTAGAATTGGGAGTAGGATCGTAGAATCTCATAGAATCTTCCGATCCTATGGCCATTAAGCATATTGGCTTGCCAAAGATAGGAGCAGGTCGGTTTGCCAAGATAAGCCAGTGACTTGAATTGGAAGTAAGCTATTCGTCTCACCTTCAGAACATAGCCTCTCATGACCTGGATGAGGACTGCTTATCTAATTTGGGCTCTTTGCTGTTAGCCAGTATTTTCCTACGCTATGCTCCTTCGATAGTCTCCAACCAATATTTTTATAATTTGTATGACTATCTATCTTTAAAATGTGTGTATGTGTTTTTATATATTTAATTCCTAATATTCCATGGCTGCAGTATAAGCGCTGCCCGATCACATTGATGCCTGCAACAACGGACCAGATAAGGAGGCTCTTTCACGACATGTAGAGATCCTGTCAGGAAAATATTGGGGTTACATTTTCGTCCACCCTTCACAAAGAATGCAAAAATTAAGCTTAACTTGATAAAGATCTGGGATTCAAGTGGAGGCATTGCTTACTAAAGTGAATAACATTTGCAATATTGTTGCTGTAGTATTATTCCCCACACGTTGATCTTTCATATTTCTTGTCTTCTTCCAAGTAGAATCAGATGTAGAATGGTTCGATTCCTTCAGAATAAAAGGTTTGTACGAGGCAGATTACTGACAGTGCAAATGATCATTCGAACGGTGTATTACCTCGTCGTGTAAAAACAATCTTTCAATTTATTTGTTCACATCTCCAACTGTTTCAAATCTTGTAGAACTATAACCACACCTTCTATTTGTGGACTTTTAATTGCATGCCACATTTTTCTTTGTTCTGATTGGAGATAAATATGTGACGCATGAATTTAGTTTAGAGAATGGCTTTAATTTTAGAGCATGACCTCACCATAGAGTGGAGGATTCAAAGAACCTCAGAGAAAGGAAGCAGTCATCTGATCACAACGACAAAGACAGTTTGGAAGATTTGAAGTTCTTGTTCTCCAAGAACCATTTAAGGGGGAAAAGTGGTTTTAATATATATATATATATATATATATATATAAACACACACACACACACACACACACACACACACTCAACATAACCAACCAATTAGCACCAACCCCTAACAACTAACCAATGTAAAAGAAGAAAAAAAAAAAAAAATTACTAGCTATACTATATATTATACAAGCGGAGTTGTTGAGGATTATTACATGTTTGCATGTGTTGCCCATGCTGCTAAACTCGTAACAAGTGAATTGCATGTACTTATAACCAGATTTTTATATCTATTGGTTATCTTCAGAATCTCATGTTAACAACTAACCAATGTAAAAGAAGAAAAAAAAAAAAAAAATTACTAGCTATACTATATATTATACAAGCGGAGTTGTTGAGGATTATTACATGTTTGCATGTGTTGCCCATGCTGCTAAACTCGTAACAAGTGAATTGCATGTACTTATAACCAGATTTTTATATCTATTGGTTATCTTCAGAATCTCATGTTTTGAAGGTTTAATATACTATTTTATCAGACTAAAAGTGCTTGTAAGACGACGAGTATTGAGTTAATAGGAAGAATGGATTCAATATATTGCCCAAAACAAAATAAACAATAATACTCACTCCTTTCCAGCTTAATATTCCAATATTCCATCTTTTCAATAATACCAATCGACTCTGACTCAAGCTCTCACCCAATCCACTTTAGGCTTACTCCTCGATCCATACTTGGGACTCCTCAAATGCATGCTACAAACTTCAAGCTTACTCCTCGATCCTTTTAGAAGGGTTTTTGGAAGAACATACACTCCTTGAATGGTCTGTTTGCTAATTTGTAAGGCGATTGAATCCATTTGTAGATCAATGAAGAAACCCAACTTCTTTGATCGGAAGGCTTCAATACCGTCGTAACTCTACTTAGATTAGAACACCATCCTAAGATCACTCGTGTAAGAAATAAAAAAACACAAAGAACAATCAAGACAATTTTTTGCGAAAAATACTCTTTAAAAATGACTCTGAATTTGCAAAATTGTTAATCTGCTTTAATGTTTCGTGAGAGAAAAAGAGTGTGAGAGAAAAAGAGTATTTAGAGTCCTAAAATAAGTTGAAAATAGGTCAAAGTCGTACAAGGACTTCTCTAGCAAGTTGTGTTCAAAAAGGTTACTCAAAAGGAAAGCGGAAAATATACAAACTGAGAATGTTTACAAGAGGGACAAAAAAAAACTAAAAACTTCAGATCCCTGATGCTAAACAATGTATCGATTTATATAGAAAAAAATATATAATTTTTACTATTTGGTGAATAGTAAAAAGTAGAAAATTACTGTTCATGAATAGTGTTCGGATATGATGAAATCTGTTTTTACTATTTATGAATAGTATTTTGTCTCTACTTTTCACTGTTGATGAATAGTAGATAATGACATCTCTTCTTGTCGTGTGCTGGATTGTTGTGCAGTCGATCGGCAAGAAGATGATGTTATCTTTCCATTGCATTGATGAGATTATGGAGTTCATACTTATCTAAAGGAGGACTGCTTGCTTGGCTAAAGCTATTTAATGCCTACTCTAACTCAAGTTGTTTTGCGCCCATAATAATTTCGCCCGCGGCGGGGGGGGGGGGGGTTTCAATTGTGAGATTCTTAATTTTTGTTAAGAAATTTTTGACTTCGAAATGCTGTTTAGCTGAATACAGTTAGTAGTCGATAGACAGCTGGGTGACAAAGAGTCTTCTTCCGTCACAAATTTTAAAGTGTGGAAAATCCTCTGGAAAAGCTTCCTGAGACATTTTTCCTACTTTGTCTTTAAGGTGTAAAAGACTTTCGATAGCCAGATTCATTGGTTGAATCCTCTATGCTATGTTGAGATCATTGTATAATGGTTGTTGCCCAAAATCATGATCTGCTGTTGGGCATATAAGCCAAATTTGATAAGGCTGGAAGAATTTTGTCTTTTCTTGCCAACCAATCGAACTTGAAATCCAGAAAGTCATGCTTCGATTAACTTTCCAGTGTGATGTGGTTTTGTAGATCATTGCTTTGATCATGGCTGGAAAGGCATTCCAGGAAGTTGGATCACGAGATGAGAAAATAACTTTGTTAGTTACTCCCCAGTCAATTTGCTCCATAGACCAGGGTACAATGCAAAGAGTTAATTTTGGAATATGTTTGTGATAAAAAATCATGTCGAAATCGTTTATTTCTTCTTGATTTTCAAGATAGAAATTTGAAATTGTTTCAAAATGATTATCAGTTTTTTGAACTATAATTTTGAAAAGGTCAACTGTGAATATGCCTCTTGCTTTTTCAAGAAGACAAATGCGATTGATTTTTGCAAACATATTTTGTGGAAAATCATTTTCTCCAATAATTTGTGCAAGTTTCAAAAACCAATATATTTGGGTTAAAGAAAAATCTTTTTCCCAATCAAACATAAGACATATTTGAATGCAAAGCTTTTTGAGCTCTTCTGTCATCGTTGCTTGTTCAACAATAAGAGAAGTAAGAGCACTCAGGTGTTGCTTGATTTTTTTTTTTTTTTTTTGCAATCGAGATGATGCATTTGCCATGCACCATTGATTTCATTGTAGAACTTATTTGGAATTCCAGGATTGTAAAAGCTTTTTACTTCTACTGATCCTTGGTTTTTTGCAAAAACCTTTTGTGAGGCTTAACCCACATTATAGAACATTTGTTGTGCTTCTATAAGTGTATCGTATGCCTTGAAACAGGACCCATTGTAATTTTTTATTTTGGGCATGACAGTTATCCCAGTTTGCATAGATTCCTGGATGAAATCCTGCAAAACTACAAACCATTTGTTTAATGGTTGCGTTGGTTGAACTGGTTGTTTACCCGCCTTTTTAGCGATTGTGATCCAACCATCTTTTTAAGGCTGCTTACCTCGATCGCTCATCTGTGGAATAAGAAATATTGTTAGATATTTCTATATAATTCCTGCTTAGAAAATCTGCAAGAAAATTGTTAGTGCCTTTAATATGTTCTATAGCAAAAGAATATTAGGCAATAACATTAAACCATTTTAACCTTCTTCCTTCTAAACAATTTATTTTATTTATGAGGAAGTCCTTTACTACTTGGTTATCAGTACGGATAATAATATCTTTTGGTGCAAGATAAATGTGAAATCTTTTTATTGCTAACTTAATAGCCAGAAGTTCTTTTTCATAAATAATATAATTCTGTTCATTTGATTTAAATTTTCCAGAATTATATCCACAAATCAATTCTTCTTTTTGAAGGTTTTTCGAACTCTTATTTGGTGATCTGTGAAAACAGCTTCTTCTCATTTGTCTTGTGGAATAGCTTTTAAAACACATCCCTAACATAAATCTGAGGTGTCGGTTTCTAAAATAAGTTTATCTCCTGTTTGAGGAAAATAAACTTCAGGAATGTTCACGAGATCTTTTTTGATCTGTTAAACGATTCTTTTGTCGTCTTCTATCCATTCAAAGATGTTATCTTTTTGGAGCTTCTTTATTAAAGGAATTTCTTTTTGAGACAACCCTTTAATAAAAGTGCGACCATAATTCAAGATGCCAATTGTTTTTTTTTTTTTTTTTTTATCTTGAATAACATCAGGAAAATCACGATTTTTTATAATGATGTGATCCTGTAGTTTTATCCCTTTTTGGGTTAAAACTAGACCTAAGAAATCAATAGTTTCTTTTTCAACTACTATTTTATTTGGTGACAAGATAACTCCATGTTTTTGGAATGTAGCAGATATATAGTAGTTTTAAATGCTTCTTATGATCTTCCCTTGTTTTAGAAAAGACCAAGATATCATCGATGTATATTATGACAAAGACCTTAAGGTTGTTAAAGATCTTATCCATCCATCTTTGATATATTTGAGGTGCAGTATTGAGACCGAATGACATTACAGTCCACTGATAGTGACCTCGTGGTGTGCTGAAAGCAGTTAATGGCTTTGACTTTTTCCTTAATTTTAATTGCCAAAAACCTGTTTTGCAATCAAACTTGCTGAAGATTTTTGCTCCGCGAGTTTGGTTGATTAGAACATCTTTTCGAGGAACAAAACAACCATCGAAAATTAAATGCTCGTTAAGCTGCTTATAGTTGATTACCATATGGACTTTTCCTCTTTTGACCTCACATGGTTTCTTACCACAAAAGCGGGGCTACTATGAGGACTTTCAGTATGTTCAATGAGCTTCTTTTCTAGAAGTTCTTGAAGCTGGTCATCAAACTCATCTATATCTTTTTTTAGATATATCATGGATTTTACTTTGATGATGACGTTGGGATCTTGAGCTTTATTTTGCAAAAATGACGGTTATGTTTCCAGAGTGTTAAAGGATTGTTAAAGAAATTTTGTCTCAAAATAGCATATAACCAATGTTTTTCAGTTAAAGCTAAAATATCATTTTCTCTTTTGGGTGGAGAAAAGTTTTTGTCGCATACTGAGGCAAGATTTTCCTGGATGAGGATCTCAACCACTGTATTATCTTTTGTAATTAAAGAAATTATTTTTTCTTTAGTTGTAAAGGTAAATAGGTGTAAATAAAGTTACAGCCTAAGATAAAATCTCCATGCATGAATGGAAAGCAAAGTAATTTTGGAATAATGAATTTTTTTTATCATTGAGCCAAATAACAATATCTTTTACTTTGAATTGGATGACAGTATGTGGTGCATCAACATCTATACCTTGAACACCTATGGGGTGTTTCATTGTTCTCCATTTGTCTGCTGGTATAACAATGTATCTATATCAGCTGGTTATGGCTCCAGTATCTATGAGAACACAAAGATTATATGGTTTATAACCTTTAAATTAA